TTTTCTGAGCGGAGAACATTGCCAGATGTCAATTTTAGTGTATGTGGTGTAATCACACAACGTATCTAGTTAAACTAAAGCAATAATCCAAATGAGTAAGGTGCAAAAATACTTTTCAGTCTATCTAAGAAAATTGATCTCCGTTCAAAGATATTACTGTCACATAGAAAACATTTTCTTGAAAAAAAAATTATTTACTCCCGCAATTTCAAATTTTCAGATACCGCTCCCTTCCCAGCGATAACTTTATGCAATTTGAACCCTTATAAGGCTAGCTTGGCTACCAGTGTGGATCTAGTAAAAAGAACAGTAAGCTTTGGTAGACTAAGCATCATTCCTTGTACAAAATCTGTTAATTTAAGCTCACTGCCTTTGATGGCGCAATGGCTGGAGCCGGGGTAAAGGCAGAATCACATACAACGAAATCGGCAGAGGCTCCGCAGCCAAAAACAAAACGATCTGTCGGTTTGCATGGAGCGTTCTTTGAACCAGTGAGTTCAAAATTTCTCAAAAAATCTCCCAGAAAGTTTCAAAAACCTGCTTTAGGGTTACGCAAGATGTTTGTGTGGTAAAACATCTAGCGAAATGGAGATGGGAGAAACTTCAGCAGAGAAATCGGGGTCAACATTTAGGACAAAGAGTCCATTTAGCCTGGGTTGGTTTTGAAACTCAAAATTCGAAAATATTGTTTACAATATTTGTGTGGCAGAGGACGAAGAAGCTGAAGAAAACGATTACTATGTGGAATCAACCACCGGTTTGAGCGTTATGGAAGAATGCAAATCTGAAAGGTACGTCACAACCCCAAAACGAAAAATTTTAGTTCGAGATTATGATGATAAACAAGATCTTCAACTACTTTACTTGAGTGCAGAGATAATATTAGGTTGGCTCGAAAGTTCTGGGACATTTTCGAATTAGATTTGCTATTTCTCGAAACCTAACGCATATACATCAGATAGAGGTACCATTCGATAGAGCAAAGCAAGCTCTACAAGATGTTGTGCAAAAGTTCGCACCAGCTTCGATCCATCGTAAGTTTGCACCCAAAATTTGAATCGTACTAAAATTCAAAAAATCGCGAAAAATTCATATCTTTGTCCAAGCAAATCCTACGGATCTCCAACTTGCACACAAAAATTACACACCACATCAGACACTAATATGAACCGTTCCTGTATTTTTTTCTCATCCGGAAATCGAGAAAGCGAAAATTTTCATGCTTATATAAAAACGAAGCTGTGCTGTTTCCACCCATGTAATTGAATAGTACAAGCCCTTAGAAGTATAACCGTAAATTTTCAGCTTTTTTGAAGCCCTAGTTGTCGGAAAATATTGACTTTAGCATGGAACGCCCGAGTGAGGAGAGCTCAATTCGGTAATTTTCGGGAACTAGGGCCTGTAGAAAGCTGAAAATTTACGGTTATACTTCTAAAGGCTTGTACGAATTACATGGGTGGAAACAGCACAGCTTCGTTTTTATCTAAGCATGAAAATTTTCGTTTTCTCGATTTTCAGATGAGGAAAAAATACAGGAATGGTGCAAATGAGTGTCTGATTTGGTGTGCAAATTTTATGAGCAAGTTGGAGATCCGTAAGATTTGTTTGGACAAAAATATAAATTTTTCGCGAATTTTTGGATTTTAGTACGATTCAGATTTCGGGTGCAAACTTACGGTGGATCGAAGCTGGTGCGAACTTTTGCGTACTATCTTGTAGAGCTTGCTTTGCTCTATCGAATGTTACCTTACCTCTATCGGATGTATATGCGTTAGGTTTCGAGAAATAGCAGATCTAATTCGAAAATGTCCCAGAACTTTCGAGCCAACCTAATATATGTAGCCAAAAGCGAACTCTGAAACTTCGGAGAGTTCCGCCCGCTCAAGTAACTCCGCCCATACTACAATCAATATGACGATTGACCGAAAAACTGGGAATCTTCTTATCTAACACATAGCAGAAGGGCAAAATCTTTGATTCTGCGTATGTATGTTTAGAACGTGCGAAGTTAAGATAAATAGTCGAAAGCGACAAAAAACCGCCCCAAAGGTTTGGAGAACCACGCCCGCTTGAGCAACTCCGCCCACGCAGTCAATGTATGAGGGCTGGCATGCCGCTGAAAAGCAGGGAAAGTGCTTGTCTGCAGAATATTTTTTAACACCAATATGTAACCCGTCAAAATTTTTTGACAAAAAGTTGCTTCGCCGCTTTACTTCTGCTCTCAATGAAGAGAGGATTCAAGTTCTCAATACGATTAAAAAAAACCTTGGGATTTCTGGGCACTGCCCGACAACTTGCAGAATAGGTCTCCTTGAGTATTCTATCCCAAGATATAATTTATTGCAGGACAAAATTAGACGAGCCAACAGGTTATGACGATCATTGCATCTGTGCGTTCGATCGAGGTACCCATGATGCTTGGCCATGCTTTTTAAAGGACGCATGGGAATCTACAGAATGTGACACATGCAATGAGCACGCATTTTGCACGAAAGACAACAAAACCTGTACGTTTCCATTCCTAACTTCTACTTATTCTTTCCTTTTTTCTCTTCTTTCTCTCTTTTCTAACCCCTACATTCGAGCTAGCCACTTGGGTATGGCAAGTGCAGATAGTCGACGACATTATCCAGTGAATAAACAACGCATGGATGGCATATCTACAAAACGTTTGTGATTGTAATCTCTTCCTGTAGCGTAGAATAGAGTAGTTACCGTAGCAGTACCGTAGCCGATTCGCAGAGATAGTATAGAGCACTGCACTTTTGTCAGCTTTTATCAGACATTTTTTTGATCAGCAAACTACCATGAAGACGTTGAAAAATCTTCTACGCATGACTATCGCCACGTTTAAGCCCCTCTATTTCCGTGCCCCCAAGTGAAAACTCTTGAAAATAAAGGTGTATCTGATAAACACGTTCTTCCAAACATAATTTTTTTGAGAAAAATCTGCACTCTCATCTAGTTTTGCTGTAACGAATCTCTTGAATCGAAGTGCAATTAAGATTGCTAAGGTGGTAAAACCAGATAATTAAATTCTGAAAAGTTGAAAATGGAAAATGTTGATCGGAGATAGCATGGCTTTGTACCCTCTGAGCATGTCTATTCATTCTATGGTCTTACTCCTTGCTTCTATGTGTTTATGGCAGCAGATCAAGATATAAGTTGCCAAAGCCAGGAGAAGAAACTTGAATCAGTACTATGTTGTAATTTGTATTTTCTTCTAAAAATTCGGCCATTATTCCAAGTTCCATTTAAGAGAAGACTTTCCGAAAGTAACAGAATCCAAAAAGGTAATCTTTAGCAAATAGTGGATTTCTCCTCTGAAACGAACAAAAAGCTTCTTAGACATCATTCGTGGTAATAGCAATCATTGCCGAAGGCTACGCAAAACTTAGTTACGATAGAAAAATGAGCTGATGCTGCTGAATGAACTAATATTCTAGAAATTTCCAGCGCATAAGGTTTTCTCTGTGATAAATTTTATATGATTTTCTAAAGCTGCCACTGTAGTGGAACAATCAGCGTGGATCGCTGAAAAACTGCTGCTAATTGTATATCCTACGCGATTTTCAATCCATTTCTATGGAAAAGTGCGAAATGCACATTTGTATTTAGCAACCTTACTTTAGTAACAAAGTAGCAATTTGTAACCATGAGCAAAAATTTTTTGGTGGTGTCGAACCACTTTGGACTTCTAATTCATTATCCTATAGTAATGGTGGGCTAATCAAGATTTGCATTAGAAATTTACGACGGCACATACATAAGCATCAAGGGTTACGAATAATACGAATCAAACTAGTTAAATGTCAGTACGATGCAGAATTAATATGTTCCTAATGCTCCAGCGGCATAGAAAATAAATTTGTAGGAAACATGCTACTTGATAGAGCGGAGCAAGCTCCACAGAATCAATTTTACACAGTCTCAAAACCTCCATATTGTTCACAATTTCTTCTCATCAGATTCCTATATACAGTTGCTGTGTTTATTCTATAGTTAGAACTACTGGATCCTAGCTGAAAAATTACACTGTACACTTTGCAGGAAGTTCGTGGAGTTTTAAGCCCGGATTAAGCAAAGTAACCAAACAAAACAATGAATGTTTACCTTGACTTAAGTTTTCTGTATTCCGGTAAAGAACCTAATAAGCATTATCTAGATATACTCATGAGAGAAACATCTAAACTATAGTATACATTCTCAGCTTTGAAGAATGACTCGATAAATAGAAGTAAAATATTACAGAACAAAATCTCAAATGCACTCTATAAGGCAAGAAGGTCCAGGTCCATAGTTACTGCGGTAACTTAAAAGAGACTTAAATTTAGCTATATCTACTATATTCGTATCTATTAGCATAAGAGTTGCTCCTTTCATAATAAATATAAAGTCGGATATTATTGAATTTTCTAAGGCTTACGATTTATCTAGGCATTTTCACTACTCGAAAAACTCCGTAAATCTGGCTCGAAGAAAGACATATTTTATAAATTTTGTTCCTATATAAATTCTTGACCTCTCTTATGGTACCTATGATCTTAATCTTTCTAAGTCGAGTTACAAATAAAAATTTTATCGTGTGAATCGCAGTGATAAAAACAGCAGATTTGAACAAATTAATGAGAATCCTCCAAAACTCCTCCAGTCCTGTTCTACACTAAAAACGCAGCACTTAAATCCACACTGCCCATAGTAGTCATAACTTCTAATTTCTCCGTACATTATAGCAAAAGGACATAAGTCCCCTTGTCTCTGTGCTCCATCAAGATTTTGTGTTGCCTATAATGGGAAAACTCCACCAATTGAAATATGGACATATTTGAAAGGTGGACCTCCTACAGAAGATCCGAACTTTCTTGAAGCTATGGGTTTTCAGGTGAGTACAATTGTTGTTGATTAGGTGCCGTTTAAAGAAGCTTGAAATCACAAAATCAAATTTTGGCATAATTAGGTAAGATTTTATTGAAAAAATGTAACAGCTTGGATATTTCTAGGGAATGACCGACGAAGTGGCGATTGTCACAAAAGCAAAGGAGAACATAATGTTTGCCATGGCAACCCTCTCTATGGAGGATCGAGAAAAACTATCCACTACAAAGAGGGAACTCGTCCAAAAATGTTCCTTCAATGGAAAAGCTTGCGATATAGAGAAGTATGTTCAAGATTAAAATTACGAGAACCAAGTGAATGGAGATGCTTTGCTGGTTTGGCAAAGTTACAAGAAATAAGTCCGAATAAATTCTACTGGGTTGGCAGGAAAGTTTCATCGCACCATTTTCAGAAATTCACTCTTGATTTAATAACCGATTAGCTTGCATTCATTTCTGTTCAAAATAGTCGTGCTCTTTACAAAAGAGTTTATACGTTTATTAATGAGCATACATTGCAGTGATAGAAAGGGTGGAAATTTGCTCAAATTATGAGTTTTCCGATGGTAAGATCAAAACTTTACAGCCAAAATCGGAATCGGTATCATAGGTTTTATTATTTCTCCTTTCTAACTAGACAAAGGCTGTGCTGAGTGAACATCTCTGTGAGAAGTTAGGATTTTCAAAAAATGTCAATAAATCAGATCTGCTGAATTGTATTGCTTGTAAATCATAACTTTTCATAGAGACGTTCAATCAGCACAAACTTAGGGCAAATAATAAAACCCATAGTACCGACTCCTCCGATTTTTGTTGCAATTTTCAGATTCTTCACGACCACGCCATGAAAATCGAAATTGGAGTAACTTTCTTCTATCGCTTCTGTCTATGCAGGGCATGCTCATTAGGTAGCCGGTTAGAACAAACTGGCGAAGAGCATGACTTATTTTTCTAAATAAAATTAAAAGCAAGCAATTTGGTTGGGAAAATAGGAAGTTGTGAATTTTTGAAAATGGTACGACAAAACTTTTGCGTCAACCTAATAATCCTATCAGCTATGTAAAATTACTATTTTGGTAAATCAACTTAGCTCCAAAGAATGCTCCGCAAAATACTAAAAACACGACCACATTCTTTTGATGAAGCTATATGGTTAGAAGTGACCGGTTTTTTACAAAATTCTGTCAATCGATGTTTGTAAAATTGACAGGATCTTCCCAAAAATTCCCGTTATAATCTGGGTATATAGCTCCTTCGAAAAAGTAAGCGTCGATGCATCCTGAAAAATGCCAGGGAAAAACTCAGGGTCCGGCACGAGTCGGTTTCTAAGGTTTCTGAAAACGAAGTCTCCCCTGACTTTCGGGGGTTTTACGAAGTCCCCTTTGACCTACCTGCTTAGGAGAAGATGGAAACAAAAAAGATTTACTAGCTTAAAAGAAAAGACGTAAGATAAGAGTGAAAATCTAAATTGGAGCTGAATACTATGCATATAGAGCGCGATATTCAACAAAGCGAGAAGAAATGAAGGCAAAAAACAAAGGAAAAGCAATGATATGAAAATGTCTTCATGCTCAGGGATAGATTTTTGACCGGGAATCCGTCCATGCTAAAAAGATCCGAAACTTATGTGAAGTGGCGAAAATATATGCTCCAGACGATCTCACATCGTCTGGTGGCCCTCTGGAGGATCTAATTTTGGAAAAAGTATTACCATAAGTTTTCAAATCTTTTTACATAATACTTTCGCAAATAATCTTCTATACATATAGTTCAATTTTGGTGTCAAATGCTTCTGTGCGCGCTGTAAACAAGCAATTTGTTTATTTAAGCCTTGCTTTCAAATCGCGCGCACTTTTCGCCATGCACGATAGTGCATGTCAGTCGTGTGATAACCTGTCCTAAAAGCTTGTGTTCGAAATGGCGCTTATTCTTGGTGCTCGGCTCCGACTCATCAAAAACGATATCCCCTTTGCTGTTTGTTTCAAAAACGAAGTCCAGCCTGCTTCCAGACGATCTGTGCCGGGCCCTGGAAAAACTATATCAACCAGAAAAACCAAATTGAGCCAAAATCAAAGTACTAGGTTGATTCATAATTAGTGCAAGTATTTATTTCGTAGCTCTTCCTCAAAAGACTGGTTTTCAAAGCGGAACCAGGGCTTGGCAAGGTGGCATCGGGTCAAACTGGATGTCGCTTTTGTGGCCGAAAAGACACAACCTATGTAGGTTAGGTTTTTTAGTCGACGATTCATTTTTTAGAGTTTTTTTTACGTTAAGGGTATAGGGTCAAAGGGGACGTTGTACGAAATTTTCAAGATCTAATTTTCGTATATATTTGTTCTTTCTAAGGTTTTGAGCCTTCAAATTCAAAAAAATGGTTTTCCTTTTGCTCTCTTTGCCCTAAATCCACGGAGAATCATCGAATTTATCTCAAAAAATGTGCATAACGATCGCGAAATCTTGTGGTACGGAATACTATCTTAACTAAAAATTTTGATGGTGATCGTTGAGAGCCCTTTGTGCCTTGTAAAATTCGTAAGCAAAAAGCGATTGAAACCTTATGCACTATACAGCAAGGTTAAACCTAGTACATCTGATACTAAAACGGGGTTTTCCCTCTTTTTAATGCAGAAAAATTGTGAAATTTTAAAAAAGCCAATTTTTTGAACCTGCCAAGATGCCCAGAAGTGAATACTTTCAAACTTTCTGCAATATTTCAGCTTGAAAAAAAATTTCGTAAAATCTGAGCAGGCAATACTGCATATCCGACCATTGGCTACACAATGAGCAGTATACGCGTCATCCTACTACATTTCAGAAAAAATTATGGCTCTTTAAAGTTGAGGTCTCAAAAAAATTTATTGGCAGTTTTTATGCAAGAAAATCTTTTCTGTTTAACACTCCTACAAAAAAGAGGTATAGCCAATGGTTTTCTCTTTACGGTAGTCCTTCCTGCGCTTAGAAAAATCGTTTCAAAAAAGAGTTATTTCAGTTTGAATTCATGAAAAACTTGCATTGAATAATTAACCTGATATTATGTTGCTCAAAGCCAATGCTTGTTTTCCTAGGTTCTTTTCCAGACGATTTTTCTCCATGAAATTTCCTTCAGAATGATTTTCGCATGGTCCTTCTAAATGAAGATAACCCTCTAGACTACCGTTGAAATTTTGCGGTTCTTTGAACGCCCAACTTAGAACCGAAATTCTAATGCATTCTAATCCTGGCCAGGATTCAAGCTTAAGAATGCATTTTTTTTTTTTGAAGAAATGCGTATTGTATGTAATAGAAATCATTACTTAGCCATGATTTTTGAAACTGTCCAGAAGGAAAAGGAATACTTTAAGAGAGTGGTTACGTCCACTAGAACCAAAAAAAGTACTGAAAAAGACATTCGCTGAAGCTCGGCTCATTTCTGTAAGCGTTAGCGTGGGAGTATCTGTTGGCGTTTTTTGCAAAAAAAAAATGACTTATTCATAATTCAGGATTAGGCCACGGGAAGGCTCAAAAAATGTTGAAATTTCAAAAATCTGTCTTTTCTTGTTTCTGAGCTCTACTCAAGCTCTTTCCATTCGCAATTACACTAACAGTTTGCGTTAACAGGACTGGCTGTCCTTCAGACATACTAGCGAAGAGTTATGGACTTGTCAAACATAAGATACCAGAAAAAATAATTTCATATTTGAAACCATGCTTTTCTGCACGTTTTTGTGATACTGACGCCAGCCTATGTGCGCTAAGTTGCAAATTCTTTATTGCATTTACAAGTATGAAATTTTGACAAAATTATAGCCCATCAAAACAAAATTTTGAAAAACATGCTCATTTCTGCATGAACCAATATAATGTAATACAAGAAAATTAGAACAACTAACAAATTTGAGGAGTAAAATTTAATTTGTGTTACAGGGATTTTCTTACGCATATCGATCCAGTCTTTGGTGCTTGTTTTACATTCAATCACAACCGCACTGTGAATCTGACTAGCATTCGTGCAGGTAAGAAGAATACTTTTCACAAATATCAGCTTCATGGAGACATACGAATGGTGATCTGTTTATTAGGTGTCTCAAAAGATTTTCCTTCTACTAACTATAGAATCGTTCACTATGGATTCTCACTCAAAAAGCAGCGCTAATCAAGACAGTAAAAGGCACCACTGCAGCCTCGTTGCGGTTGCGTAACGGTTGCGTGACGGATAGCAGTTCCTTCGTGGCTATGATTTTTATTTTGGGTGAAAAATGAAAGAAAACATGAAACCTTCCTGACATAACGTAAGAGAGTAGCATCCATGTTCTGTGTTTTTGCTAGTCATTCAATTTAAGAGTCTTCTGTACAGTTGGATTTTTTATGAAGAAAGGCATAGTTCTAAATAGTGCTCATTCCTGGATGTTACTAACAAGGAAAAGATACTTGGTGACCGTGGCCATTCATAATGATTTGTATATCAAAAAATGCACCTTTTAATGCTGGTTCGAATATTGTCTTTCATATCTGCGAAACGATAACCAGGATGGAGTTATGATTGTCTTTCCATGAATAAATTACGCTGCTGCGGAGGGTCAAAATCATCAACAAAAAATTTTCTTTTTTATTCAAATGTTGAATATGATTTAGATAGGTATATTACAACATTATTCTTCTAAAGATTCTCTTCGATAGCTTCAAACGGCAACTTAGAACAAATCAGGTGATTTTGACTATCCAAAAGCACGCAAATTTTCTACAAAAAAGTTCATAACTTCCTTCGGAAGATAGTTTCGCAGATATTGAGCACTTTCGGAATCAGCGTTTCGAGGTGCATCTTACGGTTTACACAGCATTCCAAATGGCCACGGTCACCGAGTATTCTTTCCTTGTAAGATTGATATGTAACTGCTTTCTAGATTTAGTGCATAGAATGCATGAGATAGTCATGTATACAACTTCTGGTATGCTACTGATTAAATTAGCATTTGTTCTGATCAGCGTAGAACTAAAGTGCGGTTTATAAGTTTACGAACACATCAAACGAAGCTCCTTCCATCACTCAAAACTGCAATCCTTCAACTCATTTTTTTGTACTACGGTAAGAGAATCTGAGAGTTCTATTACACAATGAACCCAGCGCAGCTTAAAAAGAGGAGCGTAATTCTTCTCAAATGGCTCAAAGTGCTTGTCAGTGCGCTTTCGAAACGTGTGTTTTTCTGTGGTACAAGCATTTTAACTAGCCTCTACCGAAGCTACGATATAAATTAAGCTTTTTGGTGGAAATTTTGTTCGATGCTTAGACAATCCCCGTGTACTCGTCGCGTTTTCAGCCAAGTTTCCCTTAACTCAAAGTTAGCACGAGTTCGAGCCTCAAAACTCAGCTTCTGTGGTCCTACGATAAGCCAAGCACGAAGTATGTACAAGATCGTAGATTTTGTTTTGGCTACGCAGACGTCATCTAACAAAAATATGTTTACTATTGCAATCACACTTTTCCTGGATGTTTAGCTCCGAAGCCCCAAGCTTAGTCCTAAAAAAAATCCAAATACTTTAGCGCGAATACATCAACACACATGCAATTCACTTGTCCCATCACAATTCTTTGCGCGAGACAATAGCTGAGTTTTAGGGCTCTTGTGTCAACTCTGAGGTATGGTTAGAATCTGGTTGAAAAACGCAAAGAAGCACTAAGGGATTTTCCAAGCGCTAAACAAAATACATATCAAAAATGTTCAGTTTATCTCAAAGCATTGGTGGAAGTTAATCAGAATGCTTAAAGAATAGAAGGACGTTTTTGCGCACTGATTTCAAAAGCATTGAGCCATCTGAGAATAGTAAAGCAAGCCTTTCGATCTGTACTGAATTCATTGTGTAGCAAATATCTCAGACTTTGTTGCTGTAACTTCACAAAACATTTTGACTCTAAAGGTTACAGTTGTGAGTGCAAAAAAGCTCCCTTTGAGGTTTTCCATAATGATGGACCGTTGAAAATTCGCATTCTTCGCAAAAACATTTCTGGTTGAACGGATTCTCATTCTTGTGTCATATAAACCGTTTTCGACTATGCTTCATATATAATATCAACCTTATTTGAGTTTATTCCAAAAGTCCCGAAATTCCAAAAATATGGGGTGTTCGTATAACCACGAAGTGCTTAATACAGTACAACCAAAAAGCACACTCTCTGAAAAAGCTTTACCAAAGATATGTAGCGGGAAAATTCTCGAGACTGTTTGAGTGCATCTGGTATCAAAAGTGACAAAATTTAATTGCGCGGCTCAATATCTATGAATCGTTAGTTACTTTATTGGACATTATCCAAACTTAGAATGATTCAGCCTATTTATTAGGTGTGGGCATTCTATCGCTTCAATTCGGAAATCTCCAGAACAAAATCTTCAAAATGAAAAGGACACATTCCGCGTCGTACTAATTTTAATTTTGCTATTTATTTATTCACCGAAAATTAGGGGAACAGAGCCCAAGCGGCAAAATCGAATTTTGAACGCATGGCAAGATTGTTTTTAGAATATAATGGCAAAAACTAATTAGATAGTAGAATCGAAAAAGAAAGTCGCTGGCCAGTATATTGAGTTCCTGAATCTATAATCGTTGGTGGTGTGCTCAGTTTTTTTCTTCAAGGAAAAAACCTTTTTATTTTCAGGGAATTTTTCAAGCAATATTAAAATTGTACAGCAAATGTTGTTAAACAAGTTATCAAGCAAAAAAGCAAAGTGATAGATTTGCTTACAGTTTCAGGTTATCAGGAAAATACGGCGGGATTTCAGTAGAAATAGGCAACCTAAAGTGAATCAAATCCAGCATTCGTTTCATTCGAAAAAAAGGAAAGGTTGTGCAATTTTCAGAATGAAAGGACAGATTCCGTGACGAACTGATCGGTTTTATTATTGATTTATCCTCATTCACTATAATATAGATTTACCGAGAAAAATCATTAGATTGGATATTAATCAGTGGTTCCTAATCAATGAAATGGAAGGCTAGAATACTGATTAATAAACGACACAGGTATTGCTCATTCAAATTTTTAATTCTTTCTGAGAGTCACAATTTTCTCTGGCTTCTGTGATGTTATTACCAGACTATCTGAGCAATCAACAGTAATGCCAAATTCTCTTAAAAACTCAAAAATTCATTTTCAAAAGTGCTTGTAGCTGTTATGTAGAGTGAACCTTTGGCTACACCATTCTCATTCTAGACTGTGTGGACCAAATTTTTGAAGTCTGTAATGGATTTTTTGAATACCCCTCACTACTTGAATACGTTTAGCGCATGAACTGCACGAATTGTTTTTGATGAACGTTTCACGATCATACTCATTTTAAACTACGTGAGTCAAGTTTCTAGATGCATGTTCGTGACTTTATAAAAATCAAGTCCAACCCCAAAGCCTGATGCAGTAGATCAGAAAAATCAAGAAACACTACCGTATAGCTATGTTTTAATTTGGAGAATCAGCTTTCAACATTTTTGCCTTTAATGTGCTAAACGTGTTTACCATATCAACGTTTTCCATAGTCTTTGCTAAACTCTGTAATAGAATTTTTGCAGGTTAGCTGAGTTTTTAGCAGTTAGAAACAACAGGTAGGACTTTTCCTTAGTTATCCAGAAGCATTCAGGGGATTACGATTCAAAAAGACCTAATCATCGGAAAGAGGAGGAAAAGCTGCATTGATTCCATGTTTGAAAACGTTTGGGTAATTACTGTACGACGATTTATATTCGGTCGAAGCGAACCGACAAAACCTTTAAGACAACCTAGGAGATGACTGTTCCGAAAGAAATCAGCCATAAAAAATGGTATAATGACGATTTATTGTGTGAAAATCATCAGCAGCAGCAGTAGCATCAAGACGCGCAACGTTGAGTTGTACGAAAAAGTCGTTCCCAAGTAAAATGAGCAATATCGGTGACACAATACGGGAGGGATGATACATCTCTAGGATATTGTTACGATTGAACAGAAGATACAATAGGATACGGGCATTTGAACGTTGTACTCGTTAGGTAAAATTTGGAAGAAAGTAGACATCCAGACTTTTCAATAAATTCAATAAAAGAATCCTTCTATGGGTAAAGGAATGCTACAAGAGTTGGTAATGGTATCCCATAAATACCGATACTAGTAGGCTTCTTACGAAGCTATATGTCTAGTGTGAAACTCGAATTTCTGTGTGATTCTGCATTTTTTGTCATTTTCGATGCACTTGCAAAAAAGGCGAAATCTTCCCAAAAATTCCTGTTTCACGGTGGATCCATAGGTAGCCTGAGAGAGTGCTCGTCGATAATCCGGTAAAGACAAGGCAAAAAACCACAATACAGTTGGGAATAGAAATTGGAGGCATACTGTGATGTATTGAAATATTAGGTTGGTCCCAAAAGTAAACTCCATTTTCGAATAAATTGAGTTGTTCTTGTTTTCCTGATAGACTTAAGGTACCATTCGATAGAGCAGAGCAAGCTCTACAAAAAACCACCAAGGACCTACCTATTTCGTAATCCAGGCAAAATTTGGGCTCAAAAATCAAAATTTTTCAGCTACCCTAAAAATCGGATCTCCTTCCAGAAAATTCCTACGGGCTTCCAACTTGGTCTTTATACAGTAGACACATAGTAGTACCCAAAAATGTACTTGGGGGATTTTTTTCTGGGCTCAAAATTGAGAAAAAAAGATGGTCCGAAAATGCCGAAATGCCACTTTTTTCGGTTTTTTGTGTAAAATTTGGTATTTCTCAATTACAAGAGCACATACAGGGGTAAGGTTTAGAAATTGCACTTAGTAAGGCCTGTAGTATACAATGACTTATGTGGGTGGGGCTGGGGCGGAGTTTGCCATTTGGGACAATTTTTGCTTCTCGCTTTCTATGCTCGGAAAAAATTCGGCAAAAGCATATTTGAGTACTACTATGTGCCTACTGTATAACGACCAAATTGGAGGTCCGTAGGGCTTTTCCTCGCAAAAATCCAATCAGGTGACAAAATTTTTTTCGATTTTGGCTTCAAGTTTTACGTGGAATGCGACTTAGGAGCACCCTTGGTGGTCATTTTTTAGAGCTTGATCTGGTCTCCCGAATGATACCGCGAGTCTACCAGTAAAGCAAAAACAGCTTGAATTATTCAAAAAAGGAGTTTACTTTTGGGACAACCTAATAAATCAGATCATGCATCGGTCCTGCCAAGATCAAAAAATGTATCGATTATCGGCTTTCCGAGATGAAGCCAGATGCTAACTGTATTTATTTTGTTAGAAATGTACAAGATTGAAGGGCTGATTGGAAATATCATTCCGGCTATTTCAATAATTATTGACAGCGATTTCAAAAGTTAGTAAACAGAATCCGGAACACGAAACTTTTGAGGCGGCTCGAACATCTTTTGTATAAGGCAAAAATCAAAATTGTTTGTAGTTGTAGCCAAACGTCCACCTAACCACAGCGCAGTAGCTCTTGAGCGCAGCAACAATAGTACAATTTATCTGTGTCTTCGCTATGACGTTCACAGCTAAATTTAGTGAACCTAAACCAAACCTGACGAATGTAACAGTGATGCTGCGATTTTTTGATGGTAGAAAATCGATTTTTCGTTTCAGGACCTATGTACGGTTTGCGAATGTTGGTGTACGTTAATGCATCGGACTATATGCCAACTACAGAAGCTACTGGTGTTCGTCTGACTATCCATGACAAAGAAGATTTTCCATTTCCTGACACTTTTGGATATTCTGCTCCGACAGGATATGTTTCATCGTTTGGGCTGAGATTGGTCAGAATTTAAATAGCTCAGAATTTTGGTTTAAATACAGAAAACTTGGCAATTTTCAAAGGAAAATTCCCATGAATTCAATTTTGAAAGGTGTTCTTCATTATTCCATGTTTGCACAATTCCCAGGACCGAATATGTATTTCATGGATTTTTGATCTCCATAACGAAACACGATCTCTTTTTTATATTACCACACATTTTAGCGAAAGATGACCCGTCTTCCTGCGCCATATGGAGACTGTGTCCCTGATGGAAAGACCTCTGACTACATCTACAAAAACTACGAATATTCTGTAGAGGTAAATTACCTTACCGGCTCCTTTTTGCTCCCTCTCCGCCCACTCCTATAATTCCAAAAGAAAAATTTTGTAGGGCTGCTATCGCTCTTGTTTTCAACAGCTTGTACTAAAAGAATGCAAATGCGGGGATCCCCGTTTCCCGGTTCCGCCCGGTGTGGCTCACTGTGAAGCTGCAGATCCTATTGCTCGTATGTGAAATGGCAACCTTTGATCGTTTACATTATGCTGAAATGGTGTTGAATTGCAGGAAAATGCCTTGACGCACGGATGAACGAGCTCGGCGGGCTTCACGGATCCTTCAGATGCAGGTCTGTGGAGTTCTTTGGCGGGAATTTTGAATAGGATTCGAATAGAGCGCTTTTTTTGGCGGGAATTTTGAATGTGTGAATGGCGTTTAAAAAGTGTCAATGTCCGCGGAAAAGCTCTGCTAGAATTCCATAAATGATTATAGTAGATTTTTTTGAGTTATTTCTCAAGTGAGTGTATTAACCTCAACCATCTAAACAACCATGTAGGTCCCCAGTAGCAAAGAGCAGCATTCCGATAACTCTTAATGTTTTTTCCTGCTCAAGTAATGTACTATTAGTACTAATTGCTGCGCCACTTGAGTTCCCGCCTTTTTTTTTCTGAAAAATTCTCAAGGATGACGAAGACAAGATCTATGCTTGACAGCTGTGGAAGAATCTTGGCTCACTATACGTTTTGGCTCGAAGGCTAAATAGCTACAATTTTCGAATAGATACGTTTGGAATTTTGCCAATTAAGGGAAGATACGTAGGTGAATGGGAACATTTCATGAAAGGCACCTGCTGATAGCAAATATTGAGGAGCTACTATAAATTAGATAAAATTAGGAGTATTTGACACCACCCAAGAAAACGTACAATATTTTCCTCTTTAGTTGAGTTCTGGCAAGTTGTCAACTCTATCCCGTGCTTCGAATTTTTTGACAGAAATAATTCCATGCAACAAAGGAATTCACTCTGCTCTTTTAGTGATTAGAAGCAAGTCCTAGACTGTGCTAATGCATTTTACAATGCATTAGCACGTTTGTAGATGGAAAAAGAACAAAGCAATCTGAACCAAAAATTCAAATGCGAGAGGACTGTCTTCGTTGGACTTAATAAACAACAATAATTGCTTTTTTTAATGAAAAATATAGAGAATAAACAACTTCTTATCGCTTGCAGCAAATTTTCTGCACAATTTTTTTATTACGATTCTATCAAATCAGTTCTTTCATGTCATCGCTAATTATCAAATTAATTTTTCATAAATATACCGCTACATAATCACAGATCTTTGTTAAAATTTGTTTGTATCTACAAAATTATAGTGTATAGATTCACTCGAAGTAACCTCCAAGCTCAGTCAAAGTGTTTTTGAAGAAAAAAAACTCTCTGTGAGAAAGTGCTGTTTTTATAATCGTTGTAGTTTAGCTCGAACTTATTGCTGTGGGACTCAAATTATTCTTTGCCATTTTTTCGCTACAATTCATACAATGGGACTGAAACGGATTAGCTAAACTATGGCACTATTGACATATTAGTTAGTTTTTCTTTGAAGGGTTTAGTCTAGATATTTTGTACTAAGAGAATTTCATAAGAGTTTGTCTGCGGTTTTTAGGTCCAATCATTTTTCTCTCAAATGCAATTGACACGAAGCGACAAAGCATTAGCTTAGCGATTGCGAAAACTCTATAGAAAGCAAATATTTTGAAATCTCTGTGAGCTTTTTCAAAGCGCGTTGTGAGAGTGGGAAAACCTAAAGTAATCTTACCATCGATCAGAACTACAAAACGCGAAAGTATAAGCAGAACCTAGATGCAGGAAAGGGGGTGAAAAAGTTCGTTTATCCTTTTTGTGGTGATAAAAGAGTATATTAACTTTATCTATGGCATATCGTTACATTGTCTTCCATCTTTATGGCAAGAAAAAAGCTAAATGTTCTTTTCAGAATTTATAACAGATTTTGAAAAATAAAAAAAATGATAAATGTTTTATGTGACTTACCAGCTTATTCGTGATTTCCGCGCGTAGTGTTCAGGAGTGAAACAGAAAATGAAAATGCTTGCTATTTCTTGTGTTTTCTGTTATTTCAAGAATGTTAGGAATGAAATAGTAGCAGATGTAAAATTATAGGGTAGGGAACAACGTATTTACTAGTGAATTTTAATGAACATATTTTTGTGTTTTGTACTCTTACATTGATTTGAATACAAATGATTTAGCCGTGAAAAACATATAAATGAAATAAAATTTTTGCTTCATAATAGAACGTGATGTATTTTTTCATTCAAAATTATCCCAAATGTTTAGATTTTTTGTGTTGAAATTAATAATTCAGTTAAATAAAAGGCGTTAAATTACGACTTTATTTTCTGCTTTTAGCTTTTTTATGTGATAGAAGAGTATGGGTTTGTTTGGATTCGTAAGTAATTCAACTAATTTTTTTGAGTAAAAAGAATTTGAATTAATCTGGCTTTTTGCGTTTTTGCGTCTAGTAAAGTTTTTCAGAATAAGTCCTCCCACTTCACTGCTGCAGTAGTTCAATGCATAAGAATTTTAGCCTCGTTCACGTCTGAATGAACTTTCTTCAGATGTCAACAACCCTGTCGTCAGTCGATCTACTCCGTCACCTATTCGCCTGCAAAATGGCCGTCACTTTCGCTTCAAATTCAGCTCGGCTCTTGCAATGGGACAAACGCTGAGTGCAACAAACACTATAAGTAAGCTCTTGTGGGGCCCCAAGAGTTTCCCATAGAGATTTTAGAGGGTCTTAACGCCTTTTTTCGTGGTTTTCAGAGAGAACGGCGCCATGGTTGAAGTGTTCTACGAGCAGCTAAACTTTGAAATGCTTACTGAGTCCGAGGCATACGGAGTAAGTTCGAACAGAAAACAATTTCTCCCTTACCCCCTTCCCCTCTCCCTCCAGATATTCCCCGGATGTGCGTGTTAGTGACAGATGAACAATTAATTGCAGTTCGTCAATTTGCTTGCCGATTTTGGCGGTCAACTCGGACTCTGGTGCGGTATTTCGTTCCTAACTTGCTGCGAGTTCGTCTTTCTCTTTTTGGAGACCACATACATGAGTGCACAACACAACTGGGCCCTATATAAGAAGAAGAAAGAAGAAAAGGCAAAGAAGAAGAAGATGTTTGATTGAAAACAAGTCTTCATACGATTCGCCTGTCCTCATGAAAGCTGGGATTTTTATGTGATATTATAGGTTAATGCTTAGATCTTGCACCAAAATTTTTTCAGAAACTCGAAACTTCACCAAAATAGTTTGTACACTTATTAAAGAGAAAAATCTTGTGCTTTACAGCAGTAATCAAATATCACTCTTAGTACATCGCAACGATAGGGGCTGATCAAGAAAAATATACGAAAAAATTTTTTACAAATTTTTATAGTTCTATGACCTGTCAATTTGCCGACAGAAATTTGTTGATTCAAATAAAATCCCTATTACGTACAATCAGATATAACATTCATTATGAGTTGCTAAAAGTGAATAAAAGTGAAACAACTTCTTTAGCATTTTTGGAAGAATTTTTTGGTGGAAGAATTGTGCATCAACCCTGACAAATGTCTGAGAATTTTCTTGCAAAGATTTTTGTTTGAAATATGTAGATATATTCCAATATCATTGTGGTTTCATTTTGAACTGTGGAGATTTCTGCCTAGTTGAAGTTCGGAGAATAAACACATGGATGCCGTGGATCTTAAACATCAACAATCTGCAGACTTTACGATCATATTATAATAGTCATAAAAGAAATGAGCATAGAATTAGAAGAAGTCATTCTTTCCAATAATTGCCATCAGGCAATTTCCTCGAATTTGGGTAGCATAGCCTTGAATTTACGAAAATTCGAGTGGGTAAATTTCTAAGTGGAGCGGGGAATGTGGGAAAACTTCTTCACAAGTATTAAGTTGTAAAAATAAAGTTTCCGGGCACTTGCGTAAATTCTGAGGGCTTAAATGTAGAAGAAGTGAGTCACAAAATTAAGTACCAGAAATGCCCAAGTATTCTTCACAACCAAATAATTTGCAAAATATTAACAAGCACAAATCTACACGAAACAGCACAACTGAAGACCAAATCATTTCGACTTTATTTACAAAATGAGACATCAATTATTTTTGTGAAAAACCGCTGTGCATAAACAATTATTGTTTTCCTCAGTGTGACATGCAAGGAGATGTCACAACTTCTTCACTAACTCTTTCTCATGAGAGTGCATCGACAGCTGCACATGTTATCCACAATATGTTAAAAATTCCTCTCCTATACATCTTTCTCTCTCTCCCTCTGTTCTTCTCTTTTTCTCTCTGCAACAACATCTGATTCTCGAGCCTGTGAGAAGGTTCGCTGTGCCTGTTCGCATTTTTTGCCGTTCAGCCATGACCTTGTGGAATTTTTCCGCATGTTAATAATTCTTCTTGTCATCGTCGACGTATGTCGCCCCTGTGAGAACAAGAACAAGAACAAGAAGAAGAAGAAGGACCGAGCCGAGCACGTGTCGGGGCCCCGCCTTCCCTCCCGGGTGGAAGGGGGGTGCGGCCAGGAGGTTTCTCCCAACTCGCGCTCCGTCCGTCTGGTTGAGTGAGATGCCAGTTGCAGCCCCCGTCAAGCACATATATTTTATCTGTTTACTGGTTTTTCTGCTGTTTTTGCTGATATTATTGATATTCTTGCAAAGCTGCGGTTTTCTCATGATTAATTTAGTTTTTGCCACATATCAAAAGTGCATTTGTGACCTTTGCGTGAGTACGTTTTTCACATGGGGGCTCGCCTATAAACTTTCCATGTGTTTTTCTCACGGCACGATTCAGCCGCTCGATTCGATGCTTTTGAATTAAATGCTAGCATGGCTTTTTCTTCAGTTACATGGCTTAGACAGAGAATCTGCCATAAACATCACCCTTCGATTCCAAAAATTTCTTGACATCTCGCCTTACATCGCAATTTTTCTCGCCTGTCTTCATAAAAAATCTTGATTAATCGCCCAAACACTCAGCTTCAGCACAAAGTTCATCTATCACCTGTTGAGATATTTCCTGTTCATTTATTACAGCCAAACCATTGAAGAGGTGACGTTTAAAGTAGCGAGCATGCTGCGCTTGCTGCTAGCGCTTTTGCTCGTAGCAGTACAGGCTCTGACATGTCCGACAAGATGTTCATGTACAACGAATACTGTAATCTGTACAGGATTGAATCTCACGAAAATTCCAAGTGGAATACCGACGGAAACACATAGACTGTACGTTTGTGACGATTTTCTCATTAAATGTAATTTTTCATAGCCATTAGAAGTCGCTAATACATGAGCTAGCTCAAACAATTCCTTTTTTTTCTACCGAGAATTCGGTGATATTTTAACTTTTCTTTTTTTTCTCGCAAAAATCTTCTCGCGCAGTTACCGCATACTCGCTCATCTCTTTCATCTTTGCCTTGTTAAAAAATAATACCCACTTTTTCACAACGATATATAGCTTCAAAATTCTACCCCAAATCTTTTTTGACCTACCTACGCCAAAAAAATCTCAAGTGAGTAAAGTAGTAGTTCCGGCATACTACAGTATACTGGGTCAAGTAGGGACCCATTGTTGGACACAATGTGATAATCCGAAGATTATTATGCATGCACAACAGGGCTAGGGCAATAATTTGCTCCTCATCCACACATTAACTGTTTGAAAATGTGCTGGGGTTATATAAACTGGGAGAAGGGCCCTTGTGAATTTTTTATATTAGAGTTTTCCAGAGATCTACAAGAAAATCGGATCTCTGTAATTCGAAGAGATGATCTTCGACATTTGAAGCATTTGAAAATTTTGTGAGTTATTTATTTGCCAATATTTGAATAGAATGGCAATCAATCAGCTGTACGAATTATTCTTCTAGACAATTAATGGACAATCACATTCATTCCATAGAAGAAGGAGCTTTTAGCGAGTTAGAAGCTCTGGAACGATTGTGAGTTTTTTCTTTGCTGGGAAAATTTCGTAAGCCTGCATGCTTAAGCAATTAGGTTACGAAAACGAAGACATCCGTCAAATTTCATAAAACTCTAAGCTTCTAGGAGATTAAATCGAAATCGTCTACGACTTCTTCCGGACCGAATATTCGCAGAAAATAAGAATCTACACCGATTGTGAGTTCACCATTTCATCTATCCGCTTCTATTTCGCATTTCGCTCATTACTGTTCTCACTCCTGCGCGGAATTTCACCTCGTCTCTTCGGCAAATAGTCATAACTTGTATCGTTCGTGCACTATAGTGTGTCTTCACGGTTTGACTGATGGATGTCTTGTGTGGGTTCTGTGTTTGAGGTTGGTTGTGGGGGCTCTGGTGTTGACACAGTGTAGACACGGCGTCTTTAATGCCTAATTTATGCAACTACGGGGCCCCTGCGCAGACGGGGCGAGGAGGGAAAGAATGATTTCGCACCGTGACGATGGTAGGACTAAATGTTTTTGTACTAGAACAGGGTCTAGTCTGATTAAGGGCCAAAGCTTTAGGGGCTAAAAATTTTTTTGGCGCTAAGCGTACGTACTATAGCACTCTAATCTCCAAGATGTGGCAAATTCACCAATCAAAAACCAAAAAGAAAATAATCTAGCGCTACTAAGTTTTATTCAAATCACGTTTCGCTCAGATATTTTGGACTAACTTAAATTAAACTTAAAAATTAATTTTGAAACTTTCAGGCGTTTGACAATATTATTCCCCATATTTTGCAATGTTTTATCAATGGAAAAAATAGAAAATTATCTGGCTTCTAAGTTCCATCTTCCTTCCTACAAACATCTTTCACCAAAATTTGGGGACTAAATTCAGCTGGACCAAAAGATTAATTTTTGGCGCTTTCAGGCGATATTGCACTCTCCGTAAAATATAGGACAAACTTTCAACACATTCAAGTTTCATTTCTTCATTCTACAAATCACATTCTACTAGCAATCCAATTTCAGCTTCTTATTATGCGAAGCATTGACCACATTTTTATTTTATTTCAATGTTGTTTATCATTCCACTCAGAATTGCGCCAAAATGATAGAAAATACATCAGCTAGATGAACTGAAACTAATAAGTCGTATGCTAAAATAAGCTCTCTTGTGGTAAGAAGTATTTATGAGCAATATTAGATTGTTTGATATTGTTTTGACTTTTAGTGACTAGTATAGCTATTTGACAATGGCCTGATCATAGCTTGTTTCAACTTACTATATTTCTGATTTGACCTCCTCCCCACTTCTATGTCTGTGTCTTCTTAGAATTCGGTTTCTTCGAATAATCACGACGTGAATCCGAAAATTCGAGAAAATCCAATAGTCTACGGTCGAGTCACTTCTGTAACTTAATATGTGCAACTGCACGCAAAATGTACATTGCGCGTCAAATCCTGCTTTTTAGCCATTTTCTATTCTGGACTTTCGCATATTTTTTGAAAGATTTGTCATATTTTTTTAACTCCACGAAAAATTGAACGGGAACTTCCCAAAAAGCATTTATTGAAAAATAAGCGTTTTCGTGCTCAAGATACTAAGAGTCCTAGCGCACTTTGTGTGCAATCGCACATTTTCCAAAGAAAATGACAGCTTTTATTCGTGATAATCCCGTCAATCCCTCACTTCGTATGCTGATCATTTCCGGCTATGCGAGACGCACATAACACCTCGACAAAGATGGCACCTAGTCATTATTTGCCTCCTTGACTGCACCCGCGCACCTTCCGCGCGGGGGCTCAGAAGGCGCGAACGGGGGCCGGTTGTGAATGAGAGGCCCTTTGAGCCGCGGCGGTCCGCTCAGTTTGGGTGAATTCCGCAGGACAATGGGGCTCACAGCCGGCCTGTCAGTTCATTTCCCTAATTGGCGGCCCACGCGTCATCGTCTTCGGTGAGAATTGGGGCTATGACTTCTTTTATGCCACCCCTCCCCGTTTCTTAGAAGTAGCGACAAGGGGCTAAAAGCGTAAAAGCGCTCTGGTGATTTGGTAGTTTTTCACATTGTTCCTCAATAAAGCGGCTGCACTTGTTTCTTCAAAGCACTGTGCTCTCTCGCTCCGAGAGTGAGTGTGTGTTGGTTAATTTTCTCATTAGTCGGTGGCTGGATGAGATGTTAAATAGGGGCAGTTGTCCCGCCACGAATAGTCGTAAATTCAGCAGTGTTTGTAGTAGGAGATGGACGTGCCATTAATCATGCTAGAAACAACCTCACCCTAAGCACATGTCATAGAGAGCCGCCAGCGCGATTCACTCACTTATTGCCTCTGACCGCGACACGCCTGAGAATCACACGCAAGTGTCAAACGCGTCGCGTTGACGCGCGTCGCATCGCACGCGTCAGGCACATTTGCATGTTATTATGCAGAAAAAACGCAGCAGAATGTCGTGCTGTGGTAAAGACTTTCGCTGCGACCAGCCGTGTGTTTGAATTTGAACTTGTCACACACCGCGATATCAGTACACAGCGCTCGAATCGCGTCGCTTCGGGGCCCAAATCGGCCCCTAGAAATGGCGGCCGCCGATCACGATGCGATGGACAAGTGACACACCGTTGAGTGAACTGCCACTGCCACCCCCGAACAACATAACAATGACCGATTGACCGATGGGACCCGTTTAGCTGCCCAAACAACGGCACCTCATTTATTCAGAGAAAACTGAAGTGAAGCTTCGCTATCAGGCTGCTGGGATAGCTATATCTTCAACAAAGACACCTAGGATTCTGAGGCTCAAAAAAAACCTCAAAATTGTACTTTTCTGTTCTCACTATTAGGTTGAAACATAAGGGTTGGACCAAAGATTTTTGAAAATCGATAAGTTCTTTCAAAATGAGTGAATCCCATTTGACTCATGCGTTTTCTAGTAGCGCTTAAAGCAAGCTATAAAGGCAAACAATCAAAGTGCATTTTGAATTTCGTTTACTAAAAATGCAAGAAGATCCCACATCTTTTAGATTTTGATGTGAAAATAGAAAACATACTAATTGATATACCCTGCTGCATCATCATGCTCACGAAAAAGTACTAACAATACGTGATATCTAGCTTTTGTGATTATTTTTGCAATTTGGTGAGCTTACATCCCAATTTCTCTCATCCTTGCAAACAACCAATCAAAAACTCTAACAATTACATTCTCTGCAACCTATAATTTCATTTTCCGCTACGGACATCGAGATAGTCTGATTGAGATCTGATTCTTGCCAAATGACTTAGTGCACAAAGAAGTTTAGCTAATTTGTTTTTTATGAGACCTTTCTGCCTTGCCATTGATCCAAAGACATCAAGATTTGTACACTTAGTCGAAAATCTTGCAGCATATTTGCTGAAAAAAATTTCATCTCCATCCAATTTTAAGCGCAGTATAGAGAAATCAAGTATGCGCTTTCTGAAAGTGCTCAAAGTGCTCTAAAATTTTGTTGGTCACAATACACGGTGAGCAGGAGCGCGAAATCATATTTTCTAAAACTTTGGTTACGAAAAAGCTGAATGATCCATGGGAATCAATGCCTATTTTCCATGCGGCTTCAAAACCTAATTTTTTTTAACTGAGAAAAGTATGTGACGTTCAGATTTTCTTACTAACAGATATGATTTCCGAGTTTCAGCAAGCCATTGTGTTTCTTCTCATTTTGAATGAAATGTGTTGGTGAAACATAACGCTAGTTAATTTTGATTACTATAGAATTAGGGCAATTTTCCGAACATTTTTTATATGATATGTCATTTTTTGGTGCAAGACAGTGCAGCAACCTAACAGTTGCAGTATTTGAAAAATCAAGAAAAGAAATGGTATTCGCTCAAACATTTCATAGCTTCCGTTTTTTTTTCAACGATTCCAAAACTATAATTTGGAGAAATCGAAATCGTTCATCACCTTTTGAGACTGAGATGCGTAACATAAGGCTACACAACTTTATGCTAAGAAATCTTTAGAATTAAATGAAAGTTTAACTTCCACCGTGGATTAGATCCAGAGATCTGTTAGGTGTGCAAATTTTCTGATTCTTTTTTCTTGTATGCGCATTCTTTAGCGGACAAGTTGTGTTCAAACTGTTGAATATGCAAATTTCTACAGTTTTTTGAATGGTGTAACAACGTCCCTAAAGAAATCTTGAACTTTTTCCCGTCACGCTTTGATAGAAACCGTTTCGTCAACTCCGAAACATCCTTCCTTGAGTTGGAATTTCCTAGAAAAAAATTAGCTAAAAAGTTGCCTTTATGCCTTACTTAGCATTTGGTCTTCTTCAGTTCAAGAGAGCGATTTCCAGAATTGAGAATTCCACCTTAGTACGAAAACAGTTCCGAGAATCCTGGTTTTGAGATGTTTTTATAAATAGAAACTTGCTCATGCTGTAATTCTTGAGATTTTTGCCAAAATCACAGAATCTCGTGCATTTTAGTGTAAAACCCATCATTCCCTGAATAAGATACAGTAAACAACGGCTAATCACGGCTAATACATCACACCCACGCTCTCGGACAGACAGAAAGTAATAGTCGGGGCCCAGTTCTCGCCGCATCCACATACAGCGACAGCGATTCATTTTGTCGGATGTCAGGATCTGGTAAGCGATCTGTCTTCGCACTTCTTGATCGCTCATTCGAAACGAACAGTTGCTTTGGGAATTGTTGGCACCTTTATGTCTTCTTCTAATTATCGCTGTGCAGTTTCGAGTGGTTTAGAAAAGAACGATGATGGGGGGGGGGAAGGTAAAGGCAAAGAACCTGGAAAATTTTTCGAATTCAGAGAGGAGCTGGCAAAAATCGTTGATCGATGAATTGGTGCTAGGGCTTGATAAATACTTTTTTGTATTGTATAAGGCTTCCGTTGCTTTCAAAAAACACAACTTTCGCAGATTGCTAACTTCTTTCTTCTTCCTAAAAGACATCATAAACACTTCAGAATCTTTTTGTATTCATTTATTCATTTATGTTTTTGCAATTCTCTTCTTAAGTCCCAATTTTTTCATATATCTAAGAGATGTACTTATGTCTATTGAACATTCTGCCCATCTATACTTATGTTGAGAATTGAATTTTCAAGCCCTACAAACTTTTATACAGTAGGAAAAGTTTGCACCAACTAAACTGCTAATCCCATCTGGTTTGCCGTTCAATCAGACCTGGCTTGAATATATAACAGAAAGTTTATCATGAGTTCTCTCAAGAATTCTCAAATATAAATCGAAATGTATATTTACTGCTAGGTCGTTTCCCAAAAGATCTTTCCGTTTTCTCAATCTATCATAAAAACACGTAACAAAGGCAAGCAGATGTTTTAAATACTACCCGAAGCAGCTTTTCTTCTTTTTATAAGTCATGTTCGTGTGCCGGTTGCTCTTGTGGACACTAAAATAATCGCCGAAATTTTGAACACATGGTTTTTACTATGTCCAGCTTTGGTGATTCTTCAAAATCTATCTTCTGGACTTTCGGAAAGCTTTAGTTAGAAACGTAAACAAAGAGCAATTCTATGCAATTTTCTGAAACCCATATTAGCTTTTCAGAATTTTATTATGTTTCTGATGCTATCAAATTCCGCTTTCGGTCACACTAAAACTCATAGAACAAGAAACGCCGAACAACTAATTTTTCCTCTCTCTGATAAACGTTTTTTCTTCCCAATTGAAGAGTCGTTGGTGACAAAATTACCATAATTCTTGATTTTGGAGGCGCCACACAGACTATACCAGTAAAATGCGAAATTTGATATTTTGAAGCATTAAACGCTCAGTTGTTTTGTATAATGTATAATAATATTCGAAATCCGAAGGTTTGTTAGTGTTTGAAGCGTTTGTGCATTTTTCGACTTTGCAGAAGTGAAGATTTTTGAAAAAGTTATTATAAAAAATAATGAAAAGCCAGCTGAAGATGCCAAAAAATTGAACTGCTGTCAATGCTTTTTCAAATCTTCGAAATGAGGATCTTGAAAAATTTGCCAAAGTTGGACGTGGTGAAAACCATGGATACAAAGTTTGGTAGATTATTTCAGTGATCACAAGATCAACCAACACAGGAACATGATTGCTTTGAAAAAAAGGAAGAAAAGCTGTATATAGCTTCAATGTTTAGAGAAAAAAGAAACACTCATAGCTTATCAAAATCTCTTTTTTTCCCATGTAGCACATCATGAATAATTTTAAATCCTATTTTCTTTGATCTTTGTTGCAAATGTGTCAGCTTTTTTTGTCGCTTTTTGAGTAATAGGTGGGTTTGTTCAAGAATTTGAATTGTCGTTAGAGATCATTTCAGAATCCAAAAATCTCATATCATTGTAATGTTTTGCTGCATTCATTTTGTGATGAAGAGATCCAAAAATTCTCTTATGTGAAAAAAGCATTTTATTTCATGTGAGCTAAAATTCGACCTTCATCGCCATCTTTCTCACCGAGTTGAATGACACTTCAGGTTTTGCGGCATGTCAAAATGGTACATTCCCCCCCCCCCGTGGAAAAATGACTGCTAATTGTTTGTCCTTCACGTATACAATCATTTTGCTGTTTTGGACAAGACTAACATGCTTAGAGCAGAATTTTTGGTGCCATAAAATTTCTTGATAACTTGAAAAACACTTTGAGGCAGTTAATCCTGACCAGATATTTATAAGCTGTGTCGTCTCCACTTAGCCGAAAAACTCGGCTTAAACTTTGCTAATCGTGGAGGCAGTGCATTTAAGGAGCAATAACCTATTCAGTGCCGAAGAGCGAGGTTGCTTTCCACACTACCCATTTACTAAGCGAATCGTGGGATTTTCATACATTTTTCAAGCATTTTGCCCCAGCGCAAATACTAGATTAGGCAGAGTGAGAACAGAGTGATGGCGAGCACAGTGCAAAATCTGCTTACTCGTCCATAGAAAAAAAAAGAAAATTCTTGCATTTTTCTGATTACAGGGATCTCAGCGAGAATTTTCTCACCACAATCACAGATGATCAGCTACAAGGCCCGAAAAGTATGCATAATTTGCAGCTGGACAGGAATTCGCTAGTGTGGTAAGTAGATCACTTTACTCGCTTTCGGTTTTTACCAACTACCGTACAATCAGCTAATTGCCTATGGTGGTAAATTCTAGGATGGCTTGGTCTCGAGCTAGACTTGACTTTTCCCGGACGATCCTCTTACATGTTTACCGAGTTGTTAGAAAAACCGTCGAAGAGCAGAGCGAATGCGTGAAAAACATCGTGCAAACATGCGTACACGAAACTTGAGATCTTATTAGCGTACCTCGGCGAAGAAATGTTCACTGAGCTTTTCTAAACGACTTTGAAACTAGAAAATCGACGACGATTTGCTCGTTTTAGTGCTTATCTTATTGCTCAGCTGGGTCAGCACTCATAAAGCTAATAAGAGCATCATTTAGGAAAGAATCTTGGGTTAATGAGCAACAGTGGGTCTTCTTCTTTGACCAAAGAGCTTTATGATATTAAAAACTTATAAAGGTAACGATTTTCAAGAAGAACTCACTGGTCGCAGGAATATATACAAGTTTGGACTTGATGGAAACCTTCAAGAAAAAGCTTTTGCATTTGAAATGGCCTAGAAACGCAGCTTACAGTAATTCAAAGCGTCTGGTTCTAGATTTCAAAAAATTTGACCGTATTTTTCAGCTCTTCAAAATGGGGACTGTTTTTATGGAAAAAATATTAGAAAATCAAGCAAGGCTAGCTAATATTGGCATTGTTTCAAATTTGAGAACTGCTGTAATTATGAAATAAATATAATTCTTATTCACCTCATGCTAGAGAACTTGTGTTAGGCCGAGACGTATTCCTGCACCAAAAACTGAAAAATTTGTTGAAAAATGATCAGGTGGAGTTTTATGATGTTTTTTGCTCTGATATGTGCTCTACAATATTTTTTACCTATAGTATACTACATCGTATTTTACTATAAATTGGGACTTTTATTTGGAACAAAATCAAAATTCGAAAAACGATTTTGAAAACAATTGGCGGGATATCTAATCACTGTGAATTTAGCCTGATAAAATAGATTATGGCCTCCTTAAAAGTAAAAACAGAAGTAATATTGATTACATCAAAGACATCCTATGAATCAAGAGGAACTTAGGAATTTCAGAAATTTTGGTGCAAAATTTACCTTCCATTACAAAAGTCAAATAATTTGTCTAAGGATATGCCAATACAATGGTTTATGTGACTTTTCTATTCTCAAAAATGAAATTCTATTGACAGTAAAGTTATTTTTGAGCAGTGAATTTTGCTAATTATATTTTATTTATCTTATTGTGAACCAAAGACTGAACTAAAAAAAGCCAAGTGAAGATATTCCGCACCTTTTTTTCCACAATCACTATCTTTGCTGCTTTTACAGCCTCGAAACGGCAGTGATCTCAACATGGAATTCTTTGGAAATTTTCACTCTTAACGGAAACAATCTCACCACCCTTGGTGAGATTGAAATGATGCCAAATCTGAGGCTATTGTGAGTTTGGAGGTGCATTAATTAGTGACTGAAGAATAGCTGAGCTACTTTAGTCGTCTTGGCGAAAATCCGTGGCATTGCGATTGTCGTTTGAAGTGGATGAAACGGACGTTGAGTGGGCAATCGGCAAGTTTGGTTAAATGCATGAGGCCAGCGTTTTTACAAGGGAGAACTATGGATTTGCTGGATGAATCGGTAAGATTTTGAAGGGAGAGTTTAACCAATATTTGGATACAAATTGAAGGATCAAAGCCATTCCCTAAGCGCCAGCTCTTATATTTCACTTGCCCCCTAGAAATTCAGCTTTGAATTCCAGCCCATACCGTACCTCCATCCAGTCAAAGTCCTCAAAGAACGGTAGAGATTACGGTTTGGGCTAGACTCGAATTTCTCTGTAAAAATTGAGCTGCTGCTTGTGTCATAGCTCAACTGTAATTTATCCGCCTTAAGATTCTAGAAAAAATTTTTCCAGCTTATGAAATGCTCTGGAATCGAAAAACGTGCCACAGTTTCGTGCGCAGATGCCCATGTATGCCCTCCAGCGTGCACATGTACGGACACAACCGTGGATTGTCGCGACAGAGGTCTTACGCACATTCCAGCCAATCTACCCAGCTCTACTACAGAATTGTTAGTAAAAAAAACTTTTTATGAATTTTTGTAAACTTGCTAAATTAAACTAGTCACCCCAAAAATTTTTCCACCTTATTTTTTCAGTCCAAAATTTTTTTCAAACACTAGCAAAGTTTGTAGCTTTTTACTCGTCATTCAAATTTTTTCAAACACTAGCAAAGTGCATTCAAAAGTCACTCCAACAAGATTGGATTCGAATCATAACTTGATATTTGAACCTTTCAGGCGTCTCGAACAAAACCAGATCACCTACGTCCCACCGAAAGCTTTCCAAAACTTACGAAATCTAAAAAGATTGTAAGTTTCGGATTTCATAGTGCTCCGTAGCTTCCTGATATCGTAGGACTTGCTTGTTTTTCAGAGATCTCAGCAAAAACAGCATTATCGAAGTGGCTCCTCGAGCTTTTCAAGGACTACATACTCTAAACTCTTTGTTAGTTTTTCTCATAATTTCCTTGCACAATGTTTTTTACTGTAATTCAATGCTCAGCATTCAGAGTGCTCTACGGAAATAATCTCACCGAACTACCAGCGGAAGCTTTCGATGGTCTAAAAAGCCTACAACTTCTTCTTTTGAATGCAAATCAGCTACAGTGTATCCGTAGAGGGACTTTCGATCCCCTAACGGAGCTCAATTTGCTCTCGTTATATGATAATCAAATAAAGTCCATTAGTAATGAGACTTTTCATAAGTTGACGAAATTGCAAACATTGCATTTGGCAAAGAATCCGCTAATCTGCGATTGTAACTTGGTAAGTCTTTAATTCCCTATTAAAAGGCGGTTAGGTACCGTTTATCTTTCAAGGAATGGTTGGCTGAGCTCCAAGAAGCGAAAAATATCGAGACAAGTGGAGCAAGATGTGAGGCGCCAAAAAGGGTTTCTCGAAAACGTTTCGCTGCTTTGCCTCCTACTAAATTTCGATGCAAAGGTAAAATGGCAAAACTACTTTATTCCATAACTTCTTGAAGTCAAAAATTTTCAGGAATTGAGGCCTATCAAACTCAACGAGCCGACGAATGCTTCATCGACGTTGACTGTCCGGCACAGTGTACATGTCATGGCACAGTTGTTGATTGCAGGTACATTACTATAAATAAATTTCATTTCACGCAAAATTACGTCTTTGCAAACGGAAAGATCAGTCTATAAATGTCTCATCCCTGCATTTACTTTGGAGGAAATGTTTTCCACGTAACAAAAAAAAACCCATATCGAGGCAAGATATCGCCACCGTGTCGGAATACGATAGGCATACGGTAAATGGACTACACCTGTAAATGCAACTTTTGTATGTAACAACTATTACTTTTTAGCAAGTTTTACTTTATAACAACAGCCGGTAAACTATATGCAAAGCTTTTGGACAATTTCAAGGAAATCTGCTCAGTAATGAATTCAGAAAATTTTTTCGCAAATAGAAGGGGCGTAATAGAGTTTTTTACTAATGAAGAGAATGACCTTAACTCTCAGGTCCCAGGAAATTTTTTGGGGTTCCTTATCAACTTATTGGCATGCATATGACCTTAAAAACATCAAATTTCGACCCAGTATTGGTCAGATAAAATATTTTAATAAATTTTACAAACGCTTTTTCGATAATAATGATTTTCATTATTTAACAGCGAAAAAAGTCACTAGCACAATCGTATAATTCATGTCGGTAGCACAACTTGAGAAGATATCGACCCATCCTTGGTGCTCCTACCGTACACCAACCATACCCCGACGGCTGGGCCGAAATTAACAAAAAAAATTGGCTCAGAACTGACATCAATAACCTTTCTCCTATATGAAAAAAATCCGAACAATCCTTGGACGGTTTTATAGTGTCACGTCAACTTTAGTCTATTTCCCCCAAACTGCTGCCTTTTGTGACACAAACATCATCGTGTTCGTTCGTAATGGCCAAGCGTTACATAGGTTGTGTACGTCGTAATGACAGAACACACTCTCAAAAATTCATGAGCAGCACCGTAGTAATGGATGGTCATAAGTCAGCAGTCGTTCACCTTGGTAATGGCCCTCGGTCGAAAGAGCGAAGCGCGCGCAGCCGGCTGCTTTCAACGCTCGTGCGGGCCAGTTCAAAGCACCTGATTGATGAAGTTTGTGCAAGCGAACGATGACAGTCGCTTCTACGCTCACGGCCAAGAAAAATCGCAGCAAAGCGATGGAAATTTGAGAAGCCGCCAGCGGCTATCGTAACCGCAAAGAAAAGGCTCTGATTTTGACACAGTTTTTGCTCGTCAACTATTGACACTGTTGTCTCTGAATCTAAGGGCACCGTTGGATTTAGCTCGGTGAGATGCATTTTCAGATAAATAGAATTGCCCGTTCGGACACGGTAAACAGTTACATTTCATAGATCGGGTATTACTCACAAGGAGAGGATACTTAGTCGAAAGCACCAATTCAGATGAGACATATACCTTTTTAGAGCGCTTGAAACGCTGATTCCAAATCTGCAGTTTCTGAATGCGGAGCGGTTTTGTAGAGGGAGTTATGAGGGGTGCTTCCTCTGGGGTTGAGACACCCTCCACCAGGTCTCCCCCTACCTATGAGCACTGTAGAGGAGTACCAACTTATGGCAACTGACCTAGTGGTAAGTGACGTGCTTGATAAAGAGAGTGTCAAGGTTTTAATCCCCTTCGCATGCTAAATTGAACTTCTAAATGGCTTTAGAGCCCTAAAGCATGAAACTTCTGATGATATTGATACTAACCGAGTTAGAAGTGTTAAAAAACCAAAGTGATATGAGTATTATAATCTTTACTGTAATCTTCATTCAAGTTACTTACCATTAGGTCAGTTGCCATCAGCTGATACTCCTCTACAGTGCTTACAGATAAGGGGAGACCGCTGGAGGGCGCCTAAACCCCAGAGGGAAACACCCTTCATAACTCCTTCTACAAAACCGCTCCGCAGCTAGAAACTGCAGATTTGGAATCAGCGTTTCAAGCACTTTGAGGCGATGTATGTCTCATCTGAATTGGTGCTTCCCACTAAGTATCCTCTCCTTGTCAGTGGGCAGTGAGTAAGCACATTGAGCATTACCGCAACTTTTGTAATCTTGAAAGGTGCGTGGAATTTGACCTATTGCCAGCATCAACCTTAATCAAACGGGCAATTTTATATATCAGAAGAGCACCTTCCCTTTAAATTTGGAATTCATCCACTCTGAACGAAGATACTGCTATGCGACGCGAATCAAGATGAACTCCGGCGGAGTCCGGCGCTTTTGTTGACTATGTCAATTATGAGCGGTATCGTATAGGTTGCCTTGAAAAATGCAATGAATTTTGATCGCCAATAACTCTCAATCGTCAGCTTTCTGGAAAATTTCATGAAATTGGCTTCAGCTTTGGTTTACAGTATAAACAAATCACTTATCTCTTTTCGTTAGTGTAAAAATACAGTGGAAGTTCGCAACACGTCGTCATCGCCTATCTGCCATTCTAACAAATTTCCAAAATATCAAAACATATATGGTGTGATTTTTAGATCCGCTTATGATAACTACTGAAAAGTGCTGTTATAGTATACATATAATAACCTTCAAACTAGATATCATATAAAGCAGAGCTCACGTGTGAACTCGCAAAAAAAGTCTAGCCTTTGCAAATCTTATTCCGAGCAGTTTATCGACACTACATCAGCAAGTATTAGGTTGTTGCAAAAATAATGTCCGTTTTTCTAGGCCTATTTTCCGAACAACTTTTTTCCTTCATAGTTTCTTTTCCGATATAGATTCTAAATATCATTGGAAAGCTTTCTTCATGTACTTTCTAATAGTCGTGAAACTAAGCTTCTATCTCATCTGTGAGACTTTCACCAGCATCTCAAACAGCTGCACTCAAAATCGAAAAATCTTTTCTTTAACTCCGTTGGCCACAATTCAGACGCAAATGAACGGGTTCTTTTGAAAACATGGGTACTGTATTGATTGGACATTGTTTACCTATAGCATATTTGAATAGATTTTTTCAAAATATCTGAACCGAGAAATCGACGCTCCAAAATAGATACTCGCTGCTGGCATTCTATGGGTCCAAAGTTTCTCATAAGTAGGGCAATCGCCGAAGCTTCGCCCATTTCTGTATGCCTGAGGTCAGAACATCCTTCTCACAATTTTAGCAAAAAAGCTTAGCCACTCAGTATAAAGAAAATATAAAGAATTTATAAAAGAAAGATTATTAATTTATAAAGAAATTTATAAAAGAATGTATAAAGAATTTCAAATTTCCATACTTTGGGACTTTCTGGCCTTCCACAAATAGGCTTGAAAAAGTGACAAATTTGAATTTTATTCTATCTTTTCTGTTCGCCGGATTCCTTCATTAAAGTCTCTTCTAAGCAGAAGTATACTACTGGCTTGTGTCTACAAAATAAGCTAATTAGCAGCCAAAGGAACAAAACTCGAAGGGAGTTGTAGTCTTACGAAGACGAGGTTTTTAAAGGAAAGACTTTCGGTTTTTTGACGCATGGTTTTCTTCCCGTTTGTGATATCAGTATATGCAGGTGCGCATCAGGTTAAGAAAGGTTTACTGCTTCATATGGTTTTGATTGCATTCAAAAAAAATGAAGACTGGACAAAGTTATAGCCTATCAAAGTGAAATTTTGCAAAACGGACACTATTTTTGCAACAACCTAATAGCTTAAAAAATTTTGTTCGGATGAGCAGAGGAGCTCAACATGGTGAGACACTCTAATCTATCTGAACTATTCGAAATTTTTCGAAAAAAAAACTGCTCTAACTCAGCTTGAAAAATTTATTTTTGGAAGCATGAAGGATACATCGTGAGCTGGCAATGTCTTTTGAGAAATATCTTTTGGCGTAAAGGTCAAAGAATTTTACATAACCTTACCATTTCAGCAACAGGGGCTTGACGGAGGTTCCGAACGAGATTCCCCACTTTGCAACAGAATTGTACCTCAACCGAAACAGAATCTCCGTAATCGATGCGGCTTCTGGATTGTCGAAGCTCCAAAATCTGCTGAAACTGTAAATTTATCAAATATTTTCTTAATTACCAAAAAACATACCCAATGGTCTCATTGTAGGGACCTCTCACACAACAGCATCATAGCCGTCGAGGAAGGAAGTCTTGCAGACATGAGAGCTTTGCGTGATTTGTAAGTGTTCGGGAAACTTCGAGAAATTTCTATTCACCTGTTATTTGACGACTTTCAGAAATCTCTCACATAACAAACTTCGGCATTTCTTCAGTGCTGTGCTCGGTTCGACAAACATTCTGGAAGTACTGTGAGTGAACACTGAGCTTTGTTTGAAACTGTTTTACCGTCCCTTGTGTTCACTTTACTAACCGCACATCGAGTTTTCAGTTCTCTTGGTTCGAATCAGTTGCAATGTCTAACACCAGCTACTATCGGAAACCTAACACAACTACGTTTTATGTAAGATCTCTAAGCTTTTAATTCCTGTCCGGATACCTCCGCAAAAAGTATAGCATATAATGTCACCAAAAAATGTGGAAGAATCCGTAGCTAGTGCCTATAATCACCATACTAAAGTTTCATTTAAACTTCTAATGCGTTTGCAGTGGCTGTTCCATAACTTCTTTTCGGGAGGGGGGGGGGTCATGACAGAAATTTTTTTCGGCAATCCTCCTCCACAAAAGTTGATGCTTAAGAATCTTTTTGCATGCCCACGAACCCCACGAAAACTAGTAAATAACAAACAAATTAGTCAACATAAAATTGTCATGGCTTACCGTAGTAATTGCTTATTTCTTTTATGTATTGAGTTGACATAGTCTTGCCCCAGAAAACTAAATTGCAAGTATTTGTGTTTTTAACTGAACATACTTCCAAAAGAGATCGGCATATCACGGTGATACAAGCCAGTGGAAAGACTTAAATCGTGATTTTTTTTTCATTTTTTAAAAATGCTAGTAAGCTCAAAGAAGTCTCTAATCTATTAAGGCTTGCGGTTTTACGACCTACTCTTTAAAAGGAGGTTGCTGTGAGTGGACGCTACAAATAGTTATGATTTTCTACTTTTTCTACTCACATTCTGATTATGTTCCGAGTAACATCTCTCCTGCCTTATAAAATACAGCAATGGTTGTATAGTGAAAACAACTAGAATAAATCGCAACCTTGTTCTAAACGTTTTTGATAACTTTTTTAGCATATTCAGTGCAAGAATTATGAACCAACATAAGCAGACTAGTTCTGCAGTTTTAACCACTTATAATTATGTGCTTGTCTTGGACGATGACAAAATCCTATTAACACTTTTATTCAAACGGAATCCTAAAAAGAAGTACATACTAGTATTTACTTGGTATATACTAGTATAAACTTGGTAGAGTCTGCAGTTGCTTGTATAATTCTCATTGATTCCAAAACTAACCAATAATTGCACAGTTTCCTATCCTTACGTCAATATCCTTTGTGTGGGACATTCTTTTTGATCTGCAAGCTCGAATTATATAGTTTGAGAGTGTGAGCGTGCGTGCCACCATTGGTTTAGAATAGTAATTGTAGCTAGGAATTTTTATCAGAACCTAACTTAACATGAGAGTTTGAGATTGCCTGAGTTTTTTTTTTGCTTCGGAACACCCTATTCCTTAGCTAATTTATGCAACATGGCCATTTCAAGTGATCTAGCATAATTGACACATTTTTTAAAGTAAACAGTCTTCTCAAGTTATATGCATACATATAATTTACTTTTCAGTTCGTTGTCAAATAATCAACTCAAATGCATCACACCAAATACCTTTGAAGGCTTGACGCACTTGCGTACTTTGTAAGCTTTATTAGTTTGAAAAGTTTCACCCAGTTTATCCAATTATCATAGGCAAATTGGTGGCAATGATCTTCCTTGCGACTGTCAAGTACTACCATTAGTGGAGTGGATGAAGGCTAACTCGTCCAGAAATGTCGAAGCTGGTCAATGTACTCGTCCAGCGGAGATGCTCGGAAAGAATTTGGACGATCTCAGGAAGGAAGAAATGAAGTGCTCGGGTTTGTACTTTCCAGCCACAGAGAGTAAATTGAACACAAATTTTTAGATATCGTTGAAAGTGCTTGCGCAGGTAATGGAGACTACTGTCCAGTGGGATGCACTTGCCAGGACACAGTTGTCCGATGCTCAAATAAGGTTGGCTTATAATTGTCTAAAATTTTAGTATTGTAATTTTTGGCAGGTTTTTACTGCTATCCCTTAAAACGACAGTTGCATATAATGTGGTTTTTACAGCTCCTTGCACCTTCATGAAATACCACAACAAACCCTCAAATTCGCAGAAAATATTGTCTACTCTTTTCGCATCTCTGTAGCTTCCTCCATAATTCCTATATTTCAAAACATTTTGCATAACTCGATAAGAAGAATACTCCTTACAGTGAGTACCGTAATCCGTCGAGGTACAGTAAGCATACAAGAGAAGCTCGATTATAAATCAACGACGTGTGTAGTAACTATTGCACATTTTAATGCGTTGTGCACCCCTACCGTATAATTACCGTATCTCATGAGAATGAGTGTGTCTTAGAGCATATCCTAAGGGATTATTGAAACATAACCTTGAGATTCAATGGGGCAGAGTTGGCCGAGAGGTTATCCTCTTGTCTCTGATGAAGAAGGTCACGGGTTCCGTTCCACGCATAGATAATTTCTTTGGCGAAGCTCTTGCCCCACGAATCCAGCGTCAGCCTGCTCAACCAAGAGGAAGCACTCGAGAAGCCGGCTGAAGAAGACAATCCGTCGCATCAAAGTGCTGTTTCATGTTCGGAAAAAATCTTTGGATTAAAGCTAGGGCCTTCCCCGGAGGCGACGGGCACTCGAGCCGGACGAGTGCGAACAGTATGCTAGGGCTACCGCCTCAACAGGGTGAGCGAGGGCGGCTAAAGAAGGTAGTTCACCATAGGCACGGATACAAGTTCTCACAATGGAACGGCACTCAATGTCTGTGGCCCTTTGAGACGAGATGTATACCATTACACTCGCCTTCGAACGCTGATTCCGAATCTGACTTCCGTTTCTGCTAATCGTTTCTCTGAAGGAAGTTATGGGGGAATTTCGATCCAACTTTATCCGCCCAGGGGTATGGTCACCAGAACGGCCTCTAGCGGCGCCATGTTACTGTCTAGTGGTTACTGTGATAGCCTCATAACTTGATACAGGTGTAGGTTCAAATCCTTTTGTGTTTTCATTTTGCACTACCTCAATTAAAGTTGTTCGAGATTCACTCGAATTATGGTCATTGGAACCATTTTAACGCAAATAGTAGATTTTTTCCAAATTTCCACATTTTTTGAAGAGTAAGGGCGTTCAGTTAGCTCGAAGATGCGAAAGAAGGTTTACTGAGGCAACGCAAAACGGAAAAACACAAAAGGATCGGAACTTACACCTGCATCAACTCATGAGCTTATCACGCTAACCACTAGACCACAACGCACCGTTACTGTTGCCGCTTTGAACATTTCAGTGGAAAGCCAAAGCCCTCACAATCCTTTACAACATCTTTTAAGCGATTAGCAGAAACGGAAGCCAGATTCGGAATCAGCGTTCCAAGACAAGTGTAATGGTATACAACTCATCTCAAAAAGCCACGGACCCCGAGTATCGTTTCCTTGTCAGATAAGTTACGGCTAGCTACGCTTAACATCGGATATCTCTCACAGGCCGTCATCGGGAAGCAGCAAATCTCCTCATCGCCTGTCTCCAAGAAAACAAATGGAAAGGAGAAAAGTTACGAGACACTGGTACAGAAGCACAACGATACCAATATGGAAGAACAAAGGGGACATAGCGAACTGTTCTATGTACCGGCCTATACGTCTCATGAGCCACACGCTGAAGATATTCGAAAGAATACTGGAGACGAGACTTCGAAGCATCATAGAGCTGGACTCCAACCAATGTGGATTCTAAGAGCTGCAGCACGAGACGCCATCCACACAGCAAGAATAATGATCGAACGAAGCAGGGAAAAGCAATGTCAACTACACGCCGTGTTCTTAGATCTCGAGAAGGCGTTCGACAAAGTACCATACGAAATAATATGGTGGGCACTGCGCAAGACACTGCGACACAGTACGAAGCACAATGAAAGTCGCGCCAGTCATCAAGAAGATGCAAGAAGGACGCTTGAGATGGTATGGAACATGAGTCGGCGAGATGAAGAACACATAGCCAGGTTGGCCATGACAGTGAACGTACCAGGAAAGAGGCCAAAAGGAAGACCCAAGATGCGATGGCTAGAGAGAGTCAAAGCAGATATGTGAGAACTTGAGATAAATGAACAACAAGCCTTGAACCGAGAAGAATGGAGGCAACTTACGAGAGCAGCAGACCCCGAATGACGGGAACAATGCAAGGATCAAAAGAAAACCTTGGGGCTCAATGCATCATATATCGACAATAGAACTCCCCAATTCCTATCATAAATTATACGAATCAAAAGCGTATTCCAGATAATTTTATTATGAATTGAGCGCTAGACCAAACTCGGGCTGTTAAATTAGTAGCTTTTCAAGTTCATAAAGCAAGCTTACTTAGAGAATGAGTAACTTTCTCATTGTGGAATTATTCAAATGCGTACACCAGAAGATTGCTTTGGTGCTTTATTGAGATGGCTAAAAAATTTGAACTTTCTGTTTATGCAGGTATCTTCTCAATATTAACACATGATTTCCAAGATATCACAAAATAATATTCAAGCATGAACCTATTGAATCATCAAAATTAACAAGGATCGTTACTGAGAACGCTTACATGCTTTGAAACAAGATAATTCACCCTTTTCATGAATTCCATCTCAGGATCTGACAACATTTCCATCAGCCATACCAGCTGATACCACTGAACTTTTCCTGGATTCGAATGCCATTGATGAGATACCTATCGATCAAATCAGCAGGCTCAGTAACTTGATCAAACTGTGAGTATTCTGATTTTTTAATATGAGTTTTCATCGATTTCTATTTTCATATAGGGACATGTCCCACAACCGTGTAGAATCTATAGAAGACGGTACATTTGCCAATCTAACCAAGTTGTCTACACTGATCCTCTCATACAACAAACTGAGGGTATTTCTTTTATTTTTCTCAGATTTTGTAAAGCAAAAAAAAAACCGTTCAGTGTTTACAACCACGAGCCTTCATAGGGCTCCATTCGTTGAGAATCTTATCCCTTCATGGAAACGATATTTCACTTCTACCAGAAACCGCATTTGAGAGTTTGGGTAATATCACTCATATGTAAGTCTAAAGCTTTCTTTTTAATATAAGAGCGTCATAAAAAAATTTCGCACCGCAATATTACGTAATTTAGAGCAGTGGGCAGTAATTCTCTGTACTGTGACTGTAGAATGGAATGGTTCTCCAGATGGATTAAATCCAAATTTGTCGAAGCTGGTATAGCTCGATGTGTAGCCCCCCAAAGTGTTGCCAATCAGCTCCTTCTCACAGCTCGATCTCACCAATTTCAGTCAGTTGGTTTACACATTTCCAGCTATTATGCACCCCTCACAAACCGTGCAAAGTTCCCGTGAATGTTGCGGACTTCCGCGGAATTCCCGAGATTCTGCGACATTCAGGAAAATCCGAGGTCCGCGACTCACGTGAATTCTGCACGGTCTGTAAGCGGTACTGTACTGCTCATAACCTCATTTCAGATGTGGAGGTACGGTACCAGCAGCGGTATCTGCCAAATGCGATGCTTGTGTGACTCAACCATGTAAAAATGGTGCCAGATGTGAAACCACGAGTGGACGAGATTACCGCTGCCATTGTGCCGCTGGTTATCATGGAAAAAATTGCGAGAATGAGATTGATGCCTGTTATGGGCATCCATGCCTGAACAATGCACTTTGCAAGGTGGGTCCTACTTCGCTCAGGGCTGTCGGCTCCAGCTCGGTGCCTGCACCGGTCCATTGCCGGGCTAGCGCCGTGTCGGAAGGTCGATTAATCAATATGGGAAGCTTCCACGTAGGTTTCGGCGGGGCGCTAGTGCGCAAACAACCCGAAGGCTGCCTGAGGATAACGGAAATTTTGCAGCCCAAACAGAAAGACACCTACAGCGGTGTGAAAATTAGGATTTCGGTTCTGGCCAGTATGGGTTCCCGACACGATGTTGTGGTTTAGCGCTAAAGTGGGAGTGGCCTCTGTTCAATCGTATTCGGCACATCTCGTTATTTTTTGCTTGCATTTTGAAAGCGCTATTATCGATCGACACAACTGAATCTGTGTGTCATCAAACAACCTCCCAAAAATTGTCAACCATCAAACATTATTTTGAATATTTATACTTAACAAGAAACCTGTGATTTCTAACCGACTTGTTGTAAAAACAGTGCTCCGCTAAAATTGTCCTCATCTCGCACTTTGGCTACAGTTTCTGAAAGTTAAAATAGTCACAAATCTTCATTATATGGTTTACGAGGAATTCGTTTGTCACAGCGAAGATTCTGGAAAAGGAGCTGCAAATAAAAGATATCCAAGGTAGATCCCAAAAATTTTCTCTATGATTTCGCATTACTGCGCTTTGATATATCATGAAAACCAAAATAGCCGCGCTTTGGTATATGGTAATTTTGAATGGTCGAAATTAAAATTGAATTGAAAAGAATCAATAAAAAGGAAGAAAATTTGTCGGATATGGCAGCCGCCAGAAATGCGGAAAAATGTAAAGAAAACTCTCACTTCCATTCTTATTCAGTATTGAAAATAACGAAATAATTGATATTATTGCAGGTAATTCAAGAGGGTCGCTTCACGTGCGTTTGCCCAAAAGGATTCAAAGGCGATTATTGTGAAGTAAACATTGATGACTGTGAGAAAAATAAATGCCAAAATGGAGCAAGATGCATAGATATGGTAAATCCTGAGATATTCGTGCTTTACGTAACGTAATCTTCAAATTCAGATCAACTCTTACCGCTGTGAATGCGGACCTATGTTTGGGGGCAAATACTGTGAAGAGAAGCTGGAGTACTGTAGTAAACGATTGAACCCTTGCGAGAATGGAGCAAAATGTCATCGAGTGGGAACTGATTATAGGTGAATTTTTTTGAAATTATCCGCGAAGTTTAGTCAAGTTCTGATTCAGATGCGAATGCTTGCCAGGTTTTGTTGGTCGTAATTGCTCTACGAATGTTGACGATTGTGATGGTCATCGATGCAAAAACGGTGGAATTTGTGTGGTAGGGTTTATTACAATATAATTTCAACCATTTAGAAAATAGTTGAGGGATCTACTAAGCACTTATCACAAATAATGGATACTTGCAAACGCTTTTTCTAAGTTCCCTCTCAGATTAATGAAGAAGGCAGAAATGGGAGAGATGCTGAGCAGTTGAAGAATTATTTTTCCAAATGAATTTCCATGATAGTTTTGCATGAGCACTGATGACCTTAGATCTGATTTTTGAAGCCTTTTGTAGACTATGAGAAGCCAGCATTTGAGTGAGTATGAGGAAGAATTAGTGACGGACTAGGTTTAGAGGGGGTAAGTAGAGCGCTAAGGGGGGGGAGGGCTTTTTGACCTATCATTCCGCAAAAATTGTTTGATTTTTCTAACAATAAGATAGTTTACAAGAGCTCCAAAATTGTGCAAAAAGTTTTTTCTCGAGTAGGTAATCAAGACCAGGGACTCCGATTAATTAGCTTAATAGATGTGCACATATGGATTTTGCTGGCCCTGACGGCACAGCCTTTTTGAATTTCACTGAAAGCGAATGCAATTTTTTTGGGAATTGAAGCTTTGACAGAATTAGTCTTATGCTGTTTCTGACACAGATGATATAGCAAGATGTGAATTTAAATTCCGAACAGTTCCAACAAATGTTTCGAACATAGTGTCTATCAAAGGACATGGAAATAATTCAACCTTTTTTCTTATTCACTGCACCCCACAATATCCTAAATAGTCACCACTGACATTATTTTTCAGATTTTTGATAGAGAGTTTTAGAGAAATTTCTAACTAATACATCTTTCCAGGACGGGATAACAACATACTCTTGTCAATGTGTTATGGGCTTTTCTGGCCAATTTTGTGAAATTCCGCCCATGGTGAATGCTCTTTACCCAAACACAGCTCAGTGTCATAGTTTGTTGTGCGGTCACGTGAGTTCTTTCAGTTCAAAAAAATTTCAATTTTCTGTTGAAATTATACTTTTGCAGGGTTCATGCTACACCAATGAAAATATGAGCGAGTATGAATGCAGATGCCACGAGGGTTACGCTGGAGACAAATGTGATCGAATACGATCTATTGGCCTTCACTATCCCTCTGCTTATGTGGCCCTTGAGCCGTGGGCCATTGAGCAGGGAAATCTGACATTTACTATTAGAACAAGCAATGAGTAAGTTCTGCAACTTTTAAGTTGTTCTCTATCGACATTTAATGTTTTAGGAGCGGCTTGATCGCTTACTATGGAGATGACAGCTTTATATCTGTTGAGCTTTATGATGGTCGGATAAAGATTGCTTTCTATATTGGCAACTATCCAACAAGTCACATGTACAGTTATGTCACAGGTTGGTTCAGAATTACAAGAAATGGTAACCTTTGATTCAACTGGTTTGGCGGCTGGGCGGCGGAACATTGTAACCTACTTAAGCCCGCTCGCGCTCGCGACGCAGTCTGCGTCTCTCCCGCGCGCGTGCTCTCTGATCATTACCTTGCCTTAATTAGGCCAGCCCTCTTCCAGCCGCTAAGCCAGTTGAATCAAGGTACAACAAAATTGCTTCTTAGATTGTCTCGGCCCTTTTGCAGATGTATCGTATGATTGCACGAGTCGCCGCAGTACATTTTGTGGCACGTTTTGTACCAATTTTGAGAAAATCGAAGCAAAAATCAGCGCGTGACTGCTGCAGATTATTCCTATTCACTGGAAGATCTAGTTATCCGTAGAGCGCAAATCTTCCATTTTTAAAGCGCTCTTCAGTAATGAAAATCCTGCCACTATTCTATTGTCGTACTCTCAACGCAATAAGGCTTTGTTATCTGTAACTGGAAAGGGATGGGCGTTGAATTCATTGCGCTCATTAGCATTAATATTAGGTCGTTCCAAAAGTAATGTCGCTTTTTTCAAACGAACGCCACATCTCGGGAACAAAGATGAGTAAGAGGTTCTGGTAGCGTTTGATGCAGTGTTTCATTCTCTTTCGAATGGTCATATAATCACTGCACAAAATGCAATAACCTCTTGGAAAAATTATGAAAATCTGCGACCTATGCTTTTTGAGAAGGCCAAGTTTCACAATATTTTTCTAAATTTTCATAACAATTCTCGGAAGGAGTACAAGTAATGGATGGATAAGGCAAAGCGTACAGGAAACAGCACAACTTTTTTCTACTTTACAAATCTCGTCATAGTTTTTGTATAAATTTTTCGATGGAACCACCGAATTTTGGCAGGCTCGTCTCAGACACAAATGCCTCAAACACCAATAAATCTTCGGAACTTAAACTTATAAAGATGGATTATTGTTTAACACTGATTTTACAAACCATTGAGCAGTGAGCATTCACCGCTTCAGATTAGCAACTTTCGAAAATTCGGGGTACTGCCTGGGGCGCCTTGGAAAATCTGAATTATGATAATCTAACCGGAAAACTTGATGAATCGAAAACAAAAAACAACTTTTAGAAAGTGGAGGAAAAGCTGCGTCGAATGTCACCCAAGTTGCTTGCCGGTTGTTGTTCTGTGAGGTTTGAGCTGAACAAATATGGTATTTGATATCATTGGAAAATTGATTCCAGAAACTCTAAGAAGCAAGCTAAGGAAAAGAAAAATCACTTTGCGTCCTATAGGGTTTACTCTATCTAACAGTTGCTTGAACTTCTTCGTAGAATAGGTACAAAAATTTAGGAAAGTAGCCGAGCTTGACCATGGCGAAAAGCATGAGTCGCAAATTTTGGTAATTTTTCGAGAGCTCATTAGATATTATGCAATATGTTTGTGAGCCTTAGAAAGAGTATAAAATGCTGCATCGAATGCTCCTAAAATCTCTTGAAAACCTTGATTCCTTGAGATGTGGTGTTCATTTGAAAAAAGCGACATTACTTTCGGAACGACCTAATATTGTTGTACAGATGGTAGTTTCCGCGCTCCACGAACAAAGGTCCCAGCTGATGCGCGCTTCAGTAGGAATCACGTTAATATTACGGTCGGGGTCTGAGTAGCATACGATATCTTGAAAGGCCTTCTTTCTTCGATAAAGTATATTTTGCAGTAAACGATGGCTTGGCACATCGAATCGAGATCATCGTACAAGAAAAGAAATGTTCTTTGACAATTGATGACCAGCCGGTACAATCAGTTGAGAATGATGGAAGGCTAGAAAAATTTTCTATACACACGAAACAATATCTGTATATCGGTGGATTGCCTGCGACTAGAGCTGCTGCTGTAAAATCTCTTTTTCATGTGAAAGAAACTCATAGTTTCAAAGGTGAGCTTTTTTACTCTTTTTTCAGGTGAACAAGATTCAAAAAATTTTATTTGAGGCTGCATTAGCGATGTCTTTGTGAATGATGCGGCTGTGGATTTTGAAAATGCTATAGAAAAAGAAAAAATAACGCCTGGTTGCGCAAGTGTTGTTGATCTCTGTGCAGGTGAAATTTATTAGAAAATATAATAGCTCACGTTTTTCTTCTGATCTAAGATTTTTTTAAGGAGTGAATTGTGGTAGAGGAAGCTGCGAAACAAACGCGACATCAAGTCGTGGTTTCAGTTGCCGCTGTGAGCAAGGTTTTGCTGGAGAATTTTGCCAAAACCGTAAGAAAATTTCTTACCTTTAGTTTCCTACAAAAGTTCTCCCCACAGTGCAGATTTTTATTGTTCAAGGAATGATCACGTGTAATAAGGAGAAATTCCGAAGACATCATTATGAGGGAGATTGCCGATCTGTAGATATGGTTAAAAATGCCGAATGTGTCGGTTACTGTGGAGAAGGAGAGGTGAGCATTTTCAAAATCAAAAATTGAAAATGTACACATCAAAGCGAGTGAAATATCATTCGAAATTGTCTAAATAAAAACTCTTTTTTTGGAACAAGTTATGATTTGGTCGTACTATTTATTTCAGTAAACTATGCGATAGATTCTTAAAATGATATGGTAAAGATTTCCAAAGAAAATGAAGGAGTTAATTGAGCAGTATTTTGAAAAGCATTTTTTTGTTTGCTTTGTCACTGCCCATTACGAGCAAAGTAGAGTAAATTTTTGTGTTCAGAATTTTTTTTATTGTATATATTACAGCACTGCACTAATATAAATTTTTGTATATTTAGAACTGCTGTGCAGCTGTAAAAACAAAACGAAGGCGGCTAAAAATGACTTGCCGCAATGGGCAAATGTAAGTCCACCTCACACTTTTAAATACAGTGATTTACAATTTTATTATTTTTTTCCAGAAAACACACCATAGTCACGATTGTTCGCAAATGCCAATGTTCAAATACATGTCGAGCCAGAACGTATCGTTCTTTGCTAACTAGGCGATGAATTCACAACAATAATTGATAATCTATTGTGTCATAGCATTCGAATGTTAAGGTTTCTGCAGTTGACTGTAAGTACACTCATTCTGTACTGCCATTAGCTCGGTTCCATTGAAAACCGCCTTAAGTGTTTTCGTTTCGTTACATTTCATACAGAGTGTTGGTACATATTATTCTTTTTTGCCATATTCAATGTGCAGTTATGAAAACGCAAGTTATGAATTGTTTCTGTAAGAAACGCAATCGTAATAAATGTTATTTTTTCGGAGCAGTCTTCAGCTTCATGTACGGAAAAAGCTACATCAAAACACCAGTCTGAAGTTCTTGAAAATCCATAAATTCAATAAAGCCCTGTGATGTTAGAAACTATGAAGAGAAAATTCTGAGTGCATAAATTAAAATCACTGTTTCACATAGCGGCTATAAAAAGTAATAAAGACGAAACGCTAAGATATATCTTTTAGACAAAAATGAACAAATATTCTGACAACTTCTAATTTTACTCTTAAATTAGGTTTTGTGACCAATTTTTTAAGATATAAGTTTGTGTCGATTGGATCTCTACAAGTAGCTGTAGTTTTCGTTCTTTTTGAACTTCCACTTCCAAAAGCTTCGACCTTACATGACAAAGCACTATCAATGTTTACATTGAACTCTACCTGAACATTCCAACTGAATTTACAAAGATTTTCAGTGCAACACTATATTCAGCCCAATAAATCGCTCAGGGACTATTCTTCGAGACAGAAAAATGAAGTGCAGAATGCGGTAGTGTCTAATTAGCACCTCCACGACATTCTGACGAGCCAACATACAGAGTGTCCCAAAAGTATGCATACTACACTGTTTGATCGTTGATATCTCTTTCCCGAGAAGCCCTTTGGTTAGCTTTGAGCACGGTTTGTAGAACTGGCTCTATCTTACAATTAGATTTATAAAATGAAGCGAATCACCGATCACTCTTCATTACTGTAGGATTACGGTAGAAACTCTAAGAAGATATTCAAGCCGTTGAGGGCTCTATTTCGCCTCAGAAAGTAATCCAAACAACCTAGGAACTGTTATACTAGGCTAATTCGGGCCGCTTGAAAGAGATATGAAGATCGCGCTTTACCGCAGTGCTATCTTTACAAATTATGCCAGGTAAAGTGTAGGGTGTTTTTACACTGTTTGCTAAAATCGTACTATACCATTTAACCTATTGACGGGAAGCCTAATTTCGCGTGGCGGTGCTGTGGGACGTCCCGATTTTAAACAACACTTTCGGCACGGGAAGATTTTGTGGTACAAGGTTATTACGAAATGCAAGGTTATTTTGTATACATCTATGAACTTACTTTTTTTTTTGAACGTAGAAGCCTACAGAAATATTGATCTATGGAAGAAACACTAGATTTGCAAAGGACATGACTTTGCAACAGGTGTGGGTCAAAGGGGGTCCAGATCGTCATCAATGGGGCAAGAACCTTTGCGAACTTGTAAAAAGTTGAGTAACGAAATCAATGTGCTTGAATACCTGTTACAGCAATTTTCAGTTTTTTGGAAACTTCCTAACATAATTAATTCACAATGACGCTGCAAGCCAAAGTTCCTACCGCAATCCCAAAGTAATGAAAAGAGATCGGTGATTCGCTCCACACTGTAAATCTAGGTGAAAGCCAACTCACAAAATGTTCCCTAAAAATAGGCAAAAGACTTCATGGAAGGAAAAATATCAACGATCAAAGTGTATACATGTTCTTGGGACACCCTGTATATCAAAGAGGAACTTCATCAAATTCTATTAGTATGGATTTCTTGTCGATTTACTCAACATCAAGCAATGCAAAACATTGCGTTCTTTGCCTCATTTTACAATTTGTTGCAGGTATTTTCAGTGCAACGCTTGTTTCAAATCCTGCCCTGTTATGGAACTCCAATTATAGCAAGAAATTATGGATTTGTGATGGAATAAGTTCAGAAAAGCTGACGAAATTACAAACCACAACCACGCGTCGCACCCCAGTGTCGTCTTGTGTTCTTGTTGAAACAGGGATTTTTCTTCATAAAGCAATGAGTAGACAGAAATGAAAAATTACTGTGGTGGCTAATTTTAACATGCTTAACCATCATTGTTCACCGAATCCCAATTCTACACACCCACTTTAATCAGGATAGCTGACGATAATGACAAATTTTGAAGAAAGGACCACATACTGGCTGCTCGAATATAGGAATTCTTACTGTTTGTCTTCAGCTTGAGTTTTTTTTGTTTCTATTAGGTTTCTTATAAATCTTTCGTTTTTTTTTTGAACATGGATCCATTCTTTGTATTATAAAGAGTATGATGTACGCTGAAGATGCAGCCATTTTTGCCGAATTTAGCTATACCTTTACGATTTGAGGGGAAAATTTCTATTGCTTCAGACTTTTGAAACCTGGTTTAGGGGGATTATTCGATAACATGCTGGCTACAAAAATGATTAACCATTTCTGATGCATTCCCGATCATAACTCATTTTTTTAGCGAGCCCAGGTACCCCGACAAACTCGAAGTTTGATATTTCGAACCCGTAAACCCTCACTTGATTTGTAAAAAATAATGCTAACCCATAGTACCATCTTGGTAATCTCAAATTCCGAAAAATTATGATGTTTGATGCGATTGTGGTTGAGGTGGGCCTGCCAAAACTCGATGGTTCTGTTAAAAAATCTTTTAAAAAATTACGGCGAGCTATGAAAAAGAGCAAAAAGTAGCACTGTAATCTATAAAGTTTACTCTATCAAATCGTTACTTGAACTCCTTCTGAGGATTGATATGAACGGTTTAAAAAATCGTGAAACTTGACCATCTCAAAAAGCATGGGTCGCAGGTTTTGGTTATTTTCTGAAAGCTCATTGACTGTTTTGCATCAATTTCATAATCTTTAGAAAGAGAATGAAATGCTGCGTCGAATTCCTTTAAGAACTCTCAGAAATCTTTGTTATATCAAGTGTGGCGCCCGTTTGAAAAGAGCGAAATTACTTTCGGAATGACCTAATAATCTTATATATAAAGCTGAATGTCTGTTTGTATGTCTGTCTGTATGTCTGTCTGTATGTCTGTCTGTATGTATGTATGTATGTATGTACGTATGTTCCGAATAGAAAATTCCATTTCTGAACCGATCCGGACCAAACTTGGCACACATACACTACGGGCCCCGGCGGGTGTCATAGGCTACTTTTCGTCATCGATCGATATCGATTTTATCGATTTTTATCGATTTTTTTGCTGAGTTCACCTACGGGGCTGGGAGTTGGCACAGGGGGGTAATCGAGCATGGGGATTCCGAATACAATATTGGTTTTCAGGATTATCGATTACTTTTATCGATTTTATCGATTTTTTTGCAAAGTTTGAGCTACGGGGCTGGGAGTTGGCACAGGGGGGTAATCGAGCATGGGGATTCCGAATACAATATTGGTTTTCAGGATTATCGATTACTTTTATCGATTTTATCGATTCTTTTGCAAAGTTTGAGCTACGGGGCTGGGAGTTCGCACAGGGGGGTAATCGAGCATGGGGATTCCGAATACAATATTGGTTTTCAGGATTATCGATTACTTTTATCGATTTTATCGATTTTTTTGCAAAGTTTGAGCTAGGGGGCTGGGAGTTGGCACAGGGGGGTAATCGCGCATGCTGATCATCCCCAAGGGGGGTGATCAGCATGCTCGAACACCCCTGTGCCAAATTCCAGCCCCCTAGCTCAAATTTTCAAAAAATCGATAAAATCGATAAAAGTAATGGACGATCCTGAAAACTAATATTGTATTCGGAATCCCCATGCTCACTTCCCCCCTGTGCCAACTCCTAGCCCTGTAGGTGAACTCTGCCAAAAAATCGATAAAATCAATAAAAGCAATCGATAATTCTGAAAACTAATATTGTATTCGGAATCCCCATGCTCACTTCCCCCTGTGCCAACTCCTAGCCCTGAAGGTGAACTCTGCCAAAAAATCGATAAAAATCGGTAAAATCGACATCGATCGATAACGAAAAGTGGACTGTGACACCCGCCGGGGCCGAAGTGTATGTGTGCCAAGTTTGGTCCGGATACGGCGGAGCCGGGTAAGCCAGCTAGTAAGAAACTATGATTCTGTGATGGAACAGATGCAGAAGAGATCAGGCGTCCCACTCCAGTGTCGTCTTATGCTCTTGTTGAAACGGGGAATTTTGTTCATAAAGCAATGACTAGACAAAAATGAAAAATCGCTGTGGTGACTAATTTCAACATGCTAACCATCATAGTTCACCGAATCCCAATTCTACATACACAGGATAGGATCAGGATAGCCAACATGACAAATTTTGAAGGAAAGGACCACCTACTGGCTGCTCGAATTAGGAATTCTTATAGTTTGTCTTTAGCTTGAGTTTTTTTTGTTTCTAATAGGTCTCTTATATATCTTTTGTTTTTTTTTTAAACATGGACCATTCATTCTTTGTATTATGAAGATTATGATGTACGCTGAAGATGCACCCATTTTTGCCGGATTTAGCTACGGTACCTTTACGGTTTGAGGGGAAAATTTCTATTGCTTCAAACTTTCTGAAACCTGGTTTAGGGGGATTATTCGACAACATGCTGGCTATAAAAATGATAAAAATTTCTAATGCAAATGTTACTTTCGTAGAAGTAGGGTATGATTTTCAACATAGCAGCAAACCAATATGTGTACCATGTTACCATGTTCGTGTTCAGCATGCCGAATTACCCTCACCTGCCCCCCGTGCAAAGTCTAAGCAAATTTTGAGATTTGCAGTTTAGGTATTGATAAATGACCCACCAGGTTCGAGAACGCCACATCTTAATTTTTTTTTAAATTCCGTTTCTTTTTTACTTGACTCATTGAGCCAACCTCAAGGAAGATGCTGCCTGCAAGTCCGTCTTGATCTGCTGACTTCAGGTTGTGCGAGGCTCAATTTTTTTTAATAACCTCAGAACCTCGATTTTTAACAGCTTTTGAAGATTGCTGAGCTTTTTCAAGTTATCAAAAATCAAAC